TGTCCATCTGGGCTAGCAGGGACTCCTCTATGGATAAAGAGTTTTGAGCTCGGCGAGCAATCCCTGCATTAATGCAGAGCGTGATGGCGACAGACTCTCTCGTGTGTGTCTTGCAAGTGATTTTACCAAAGCCGTTCGGGGTGCTCTCGGGAATGACAGACCAGTGAGCCCTACCTCTCCGTATCGGATATATCTGGTGGAAATGCTAAACACAAATAGAATTACCAAACAGCTAGGAGATAGTGATATTTGCTAGTGTCTAACCAGGACGCCGCGCCTCACTAACCTGTTAGAATTCTTTGAGTGTAAAATAAATACAATAGTGACTAAAGGCGCAGCAGTGTGCATGTTGTTTCTTTGAACGGCCCACAGGCTTTGGCTCAGGTATTGCATGAGGGGCTCTCACGGAGCATGGGAGGAGCAGTCGTGGAACAGCAACAAACAAGAGGGGGAAATGGTCTTTTTTTAATGCTGCGAAAAAGGCCAGAGGCAGATGTCACATGGTTCTGGAATTAGTGGGTAGAAAAGGGTTGGGGACAAAATGGGGAGATCAGACATAGGGTTTATTGAGCTGGGTCAGGATTGCAAGTATCAGTCGTGCTGTAAAGGACTGTTCACAAAGGAAAGTCTGACAGTATGTCAAAGTGCATTCAGTCAGTCCCCTCTGGCCACGCCTTCCTTCTCGCCGCCTGTGTCCTGGTTGTGGGGTCTGCATTACCCTGCTGTGCCAGTTTGAAATTTGGTCTCCCATGTAGCTGGGGCATTAATTGCCTTGAAGATCAGAGCCAAACCCAAACATTAAAAAAAAAACCATCTCAAGGCCAGACACTCTACCCCCAGTAATTCCTGCTTCCAGCTCAAAACCTGGCGGGACTGGAGTGGAGCTTTGAGGGAGACACTCCCCATCTGCACTGATGTTCAGATTTTCGAATCAGTGTGACCCTGTGCGTGTGCACACAGCTGCTGAGGGCAGTGCACTGTCCCCTTCGAGTGGCAATTGGCCCACATGGTGGCTGCTAAAACCTGCAGCAGTCTGGGTTAACGGAAGTGTTAACTCAGGGCAAAGAGGCTTGTGCTCTAAGATGCAGAGGCTCATGCCCACAGTGACAGTGGTCGTTTACAAAAGAAAAGGGTTTGAGGAGGAAAGTTTTATGCTGTATCCAAATCCAAGGGCATCCTGCCTGACGGGCCAGGAAAGGATAACGAGACCAAGGACCCCAGCGTTCCTGCGCCCCAGGCTTGGGTTTCTGCTGCATTTGAAAATGTTACCTCCTCTTACCCCTCACTCGGCTCCTCTCTGCTGAGGAGAGCAGGGCTCGCTGGTAAATCTGGTTGGCGCTCTTTGGAGGACACTGCTAGCAACCACTAGCTGCCACAGCCTCTCTGGAATGCTGGGTCCTGTGGTCTCCAACTTGGGAAGGAGACACTGAGGCAAAGTCACTGGGCCTAGGCATTCCCTGGTGAACTGGTCTTTGGAGTCCTAAAAGTTCATTCCCAGCATCATTGAAACCCCAGAAGGACCCAGCTCGGGCTGGCAGGCCTCAGTTCTCTCTTCTGCCAGTGCCTGCCTCAGGATGCGCCTAAGCTGGGAGGCGAGGTAGATACGCTGCAGGGTAGGGAGAGGGTCCAGAGTGACCTACACACATTGGAGGGATCTTCCTCGTCCCCTCAGCTTAGTGTCGGCTGCAAACCTGCTGAGGCCACAGTCCAGTCCCTCTGCCAGATGGTCAGTGAGGATGTTCAACAAACTCGGCCCCAGCGCTGACCTCTGTATACCTGCTGCCAACTAGACATTGAGACCTTCCTTGATCACCAGCGTTGAGCCCAATGACTGAGCCAGCGTTATCCCCTTTGTAGTGCGCAGGGCTGAGCTAAGGACCCAGGTGAGCTAAGGACCCTGGCACAGGCTAGACCTTTTGTTGTCTTAACCCCATCTCTTAGTAATTGCTGGTCTAGATCCCCCAGGACTCTAACATCTGTGGGTTTAACCCTTAATGCTCTCAGTAGGGGAAGTGGAGTTCAGCCGTAGCCCTGGGGAGTAGCAGGATTCAGTCTTTTTGGTGTGGTGGGGGAGACCCCTCCCAGTGCAGAGAAAGGGAGCACCCAGAGGAACCCCCCCTCCCCAAAAGGGCCCCATGGCAGTAGGGGAACCACGTTGCAGTTCTGCTCCAAGTAGTGCTTGTGCTCTGTAGCCAGCTCACACTGGGGTCAGCAGAAGCCCCTCCTGTTAGGGTCTGTCCGTTCTGGAAGGTGACGAGGAGACGGTCCCATCTCTCACCCAGGGTGCACAGCCCATGATGGTTTGATATAAACAATTTTTTTTTCCAGACAGAAACTGAAAATTTTGCCAGAAGCCAAGAATCTTTCTGGCCACCAAAATAGTAACTTTTCAGGTGAAAGGACAGGCAGATTTTGTAAGGAGAGTAGATCTTTTTCTTTACGCTGAAACCCGTTTGCCTTCAGAATAAACATTGCAGTGGGTCCTTTTCAACCAGCCCAATTTGCCTGTGTCTTCTATAGCCCCTGACTTGTAATCCTGCAATGTCACCAGCAGGGGGCACAACTGGGGAGGTTGCTTTCGCTCGCTGAACTAAATTTTGTTGGTTAAGTTTCAGCAGCAAGCCGGCTGACGATAACACAGTATCATTAAGTGATGTAGGACTAGTCCCCGCGGTGCTTCTGCTGTGTGAAGGGTGACTAATACCCCTCGGTCATGGCTTTTGTCAACCACTCATATTGTAATGGGTTCAGTCAAAGATCCTCTTGAGTGTGTCACTTGATGTGCTACAGATACCATGGAGGCCACCTGCCTGCTGTCTGGGGCACCCCGCCACCCTGACCTGCTGAGGCAGAACCTCTGGACTCCACCAGGTATGGCACAGAGTTGGAATCACTGCCCTCAGTAGGGTAACACAGACACACTGGCTACGTCTAGACTGGCATGATTTTCCGAAAATGCTTTTAACTGAAAAGTTTTCCTTTAAAAGCATTTTCGGAAAAGCGCGTCTAGATTGGCAGGATGCTTTTCCGCAAAAGCTTTTTGCGGAAAAGCGTCTGTGGCCAATCTAGACACGCTTTTCTGCAAAAAAGCCCCAATCGCCATTTTCGCGATTGGGGCTTTTTTGCGGAAAACAGTACTGTGCTGTCTACACTGGCCCTTTTGCGCTAAAGTCTTTTGGAAAAAGACTTTTGCCCGAAGGGGAGCAGCATAGTATTTCCGGAAAAGCACTGACAATCTTACATGAGATCATCAGTGCTTTTCCGGAAATTCAAGCGGCCAATGTAGACAGCTGGCAAGTTTTTCCGCAAAAGCAGATGATTTTTGCGGAAAAACTTGCCAGTCTAGACACAGCCTGAGATCAGAACAGCTCTGGGAAGGCTCAGTCAAAGGGGGACTTGGCCCAGCACACAATGGGCCCAAAGCCCCAGATAAATCTGCTTTACTCTGTATAGAGTTTAATACAGAGCAAGCTCATAACTTGTTTGCCACCTGTGTCAATGAGAAATATGCTCAGCTATCATCCCACCCACCCCAGATAATTATTTACACTGGGCTTATTAATGAACAGAAGTGATTTTATTAAATATAAGAAGTAGGAGCTAAGTGGTTGCAAGCAACAGCAGACAGAGCAAAGAAAGTTACTAAGCAAAATAAAACAAAACAGGCCAGCTAAACCTAATACATTAAGAGAACTTGTTACAAATCATAATTTCTCACCCCAGTTTTTATTTCAGTAAAGGGTTTCTCAGGACAGAGGAATCCTTTCTGGCCTGGATCCAAGCAGTTCTCTACCTCTCATTACAGTCCTTTCGTTTCCAAGTATTTTCAAGTACCCTTTCAGGGTGGTGTGGCAGTCCCTAAAGCCAGCTGAAGAGTCATTGTTTACTTCCCTTCCTTTATATAGAATTTCCATAGGGCAGGAAGCCTTTGATTCCCTAACACCTCCGTGGAAAGGTACAAATTCAAGCTGGATTCCAGCATCAGGCAACATGGACACGTCTTTGTAGCACATCTGGAGGAAGACGGTTCTCCTCCCACTCGGTTGTCTTTTACTAATGGGCTACAAGCTCTGTGTCTGGCTTCTTCATTGTTCCTCTTGGGCTGGAAGTAGGCTTTTCCCACCATGAACACATTGGTAATAAATCTACAGTCACTATTCCTAATTTCAGATACAATAATGATACACGCAGACACATCCAGGGGATCACAAGCTTTCCAGTGAGAGATTACATGTAGCATTTTGCATAAAGCATATTCATGTTAGGCACATTCCCATTCATAAGCATAGTTCCATAAGGACTAATGAGTCCAACATCACACATCTCATTACAGACCTTCATTAAGATGCTCTCATAGTGCAAAAAAATAACAGTAACATATTCAAACATGCCGGAGTCACTGAGGAGCTTCTGTGCCATTTTCAAAAACAGCGGAGGTTTTGAGGAGCCTAAACCAGGTGGATACTCCCCTGGACAGGGTGAGCTTTTTGACCTCTTTTCACTAACAAGGCAGTCTTCTTTAAAAACAACACAGTCTGGTAGCACTTTATAGATTAACAAAACATGTTGGCTGCGTCTAGACTGGCATGATTTTCCGCAAATGCTTTTAACGGAAAAGTTTTCCGTTAAAAGCATTTTCGGAACAGAGTGTCTAGATTGGCACGGACACTTTTCCGCAAAAAAGCCCCAATCGCTATTTTCGCGATTGGGGCTTTTTTGCGGAAAACAGCATCTAGATTGGCCATGGACGCTTTTCCGCAAAAAGTGCTTTTGCGGAAAAGCATCTGTACCAATCTAGACGCTCTGTTCCAAAAATGCTTTTAATGGAAAACTTTTCCGTTAAAAGCGTTTCCGGAAAATCATGCCAGTCTAGATGTAGCCGTTGGCAAGTTTTTCCGGAAAAGCGGCTGATTTTCCGGAAAAACTGGACAGTCTAGACACAGCCATAGATGGTATCGTGAGCTTTCATGGGCACAGCCCACTTCTTCAGATGCAGAAATTAGTCTTTAAAGTGCTACCAGACAATCTGTTGGTTTTTTAAAGTTTATCCTGTACAGACTAACTTAGCTACCCCTCTGAAGTTCTTTAAAAAACACACACACACAAAACCCAGACTCAGTTCACACACAGGTCACATTGATTGAACTAACAGGCTGCTAAACAGATTTAAGCATTCCTTATGTAAACACTCTAGAGGGCATATCTACACTACAAACTTAGGTTGACTTCAGTTAGGTCAACCTAAGGCTATCTCAGCCATTAAATAGCCTGTTGGCGTCCACACTATCCTGCTTCTGGCAGGGTGACAGCTGGAGTGTGGGGCAATGAGTGCCATGTGGAGCTGACAACTGGAGCTCCCTCATCCCATGGCTGACAGCTACCCGGGGATGTAAGTAACACAGTGTCTGCATGGACTCTGCATCACCCTAACTGCATTGACCTGCTATGCCTCTCGTGGAGGTGGAGTTATTAGATTGGTGGAATGGGAGACTTACAACTTTAGTGTGCAGATGCACATCGGAAGCTGCCTTACGTCATCCTGACGCCATATTGCAGACCAGGCCTCAGATTTTGGTTTAAAAGGGATTAAATGTGATTTTTTTGTATATCTAATTTAAGCTGATTCAGGTTTGACCCTGTCCACACGAGAAACTTGCAGTGATGTCATTTTTAAACTGCTTATGTTAAATTGGTTTCAATTCCTGTGTGGACAGCTTTAGTCCAGGTTAAGGCTAACAAACTGGATTAAGATAAACAGAAATAAGCCACTGAAATGGAATTTTCATCCTCTGTGGTTCAACCATTGGCAGGAGGGAGACAGCTGGCGTAATGCCTAAAGGTGGGTTATATAGATAAGGCTTAAAAAGCAGCTCTGAGAAATTGTTTCTTTCATTGAAATTCACCAACTTGCAGAGAGCAATGTGCATGGCAACATTAGCACAGCTGGTCACGCCCATAACATCTCAAACTCATGTCTCCCAGCCAGGGCACCACTTCAATCCGACTGACGGCTTGTTTTCATTCAGGTGATACCCAGGCCTAGTGATGCGATGAGATTCACTTCTCAAGGAAACACCTCTCCCTAAAGCACTGTGGATTCTACAGTAGATGCAGCAACTTATTTTGGAATCCACAGGAAACAGTTCATAGACCCTTCACTCTTGAACGTACGAGTGGGCGAAGGTTTTGCTGATCAGCACGGCAGTTTTCCACACTGAAATGACGTTCTCCAGCGTAAGGTCTTGGCTCTCAGCGCTGGTCAGTTTCTCAATGTGAATCTCTTTTCCCTCATTTTCTAAATATTCTTTAAAGGTCTCCACTATCCTGTTCATAAAAGAAAAGAAGACTGTAAATGGATAGGACGCTGGTTCGCAAAGACTAAGGCCAGGTCTACACTGACAGAGAAAATCAATGCAAGATACACAACTCCAACTACATGTTTTGAACATAGTTTGCATCAATTTTCTGGGGTGGCCCCACAGCGGGAGGATGATGGGAGAAACTCTCTGGAGTCAAGAGGTCTTTTACCAGACCTTCTAAATTGAATGCAAGAAGATCGACTGGAGTGTCGATCTTCCTGGAAGTATAGATGTGGCCTTAGTGTCAAGTCTGACAGACACACCCAGTTCCTTCAGCTCCCTTTGCACACTGCTCATCACTTAGCTGAAATAAAGGGAGGTATTTTTCTGCAGAAAGTTTTGACTTTTTGGTATGTACAATGAGGCTTCCCATCCCTGAATAATTTGTTTTTTCAGCAAATAAGAAGTAAACATTTTCAACTCAATGCTGCTGAAAAGTGTCCCCAAACTGTTGGTTTTCTAAACTAGAGTTTTTGAGGAAGGTAGGTGCTTCCCGAGAAAATGTACATTTAGTCTAAAGTTAAATTTGTCATTAAAAAAAGCCCAATGTGTATAGTTTCTAAAGTCTCAGTGAATATTCAAGAGGTGTCAGACAAGAGGTAACATTTCCTCCCATCAATTTTTAAGCAAAATGGTGTGTACTTAAACAGAGGTGGGTGAAATTATCCAGTATTGGACATAATTCTGAGGAAGAAAACAAGGCATTAAGAGTCCATAAGGAACAGAAGATATCAAAACTCCATCTCTTACCTAAAGAATGAGATTTAATATCCCTGCTGGAATTTTTATAATTAACAAAGGATATTCTTGTTACCCATAGAAATGCCTAACCATTGTTTAAGTCTCACTAATTTCTCAGCCTCACTGACCTCCTGCAGCAGTGAGTTCCACAGGCTACTCACAAGCCATAAGAAAAACTATTTCCTTTGACCAGATTTGAATTTCCCACCTTTCAATTTCATTGAACATCATCTTGTTCTTGTGTGATGGAACAGGAAGAGTGAATGCCCCCGACCTTACTCCTGTCGACCGGTCAGTATTTTACAGACCATTAGCAAATTTCCTCTTTTCCCAGGTAAAAATCCCACTTTGTTCAGTCTCTCTTCACAGCGGCTTCTTCACACACCTGATCACTCTCATTGCTCTTCTCAGAGCCCTTCTAGTTCTGCAGGGTGAGAAGCCTGAGACTCTCTAGCCTAGACTAGCATCAGCTGCATATTATCTGATTTGAGAGGACCTGGGAATCCATGGACAGTGACCTTTTACATGCCACATGATTTGATCTTTCCCTTTTAATGCAGCACACAAGTCATATGCAGGTGATTTTAAAATTAATTATTTTGCCACCTACATTTGCCTTTAGCTTTTTACCTGCGTTACTCAAAACAGACAAACCACCTACCCACCACAGGAAATAATTGCTAAAGGGGTGCGGCCTGCCCCAAACAACAAGTAAAAAAATTTTTTTTTCATCTGGAGCTAAATGTTCATAGAGGGGCCCTTGGCATCTGCACAGATACGAGAACGAGGCTGTTACCCCCAAGAGCTTTCATAGCTTTCCAGCGACACGGTGATCATTTCGTGCAGCTCAATGACAAAGGACTCCATATTGACAGTGGATAACGCGGTTGTTAGCTCCGACCTCTGCTTCTCACTCAGCTCAGTGTGGTACTTCTTGTCGAGCAGGAAGAAGGGATCCTGAAATGAGAAGCACAGTGAGTGGGGCCGCTGCAGGGTGCTACAGATGCGGCGGGATGCCCCAGGCACAGGGCAGCTGAGGATGGGCCTAAGGGAAGAGATCCCTCATTTGGCTCAGAGTAGGTGTAGCCCAGTGACACGGGGATGGTCCTAGGGCGGGAGGGAGGACGTGGCTCTGCATGTGACCTCAGGCCAGCGCTGTAATCCCTGTGGCCGGAAAAGCTGTGATCACTTTTGTTGGCCAGTAAGTGCTGGGATAACGTCTGTCCAGCCAGCTCACATTTTCCATCCTGGTATCGCAATGCTTGCAGCACACTGTGCCAAGAGAACATTGGACTGTAGAGCTGTTTCTAGCAGTTACCTGGCCTGAACCGGTCTGGGTCTTTGTTGTAACCTGTCAGCCAGCCCGTCCGTATGACTTGCTGCCATGCGTAACTGGGAGAACAGCTTCTGCGGAAAGTGACTTTAACAGCTGCAGCACAAGGTGGCTTCATAAAGACTGGTACAGTACAGGGTGAACCTCTCCAGCCTGGCAACATCTGTCGTCCTGCTGGACCACACATATTGACGGACAAGAAAGCTCCAGCTAGACAGATTCAGCAGCACAGCCCAGGTCCGTCTGGCGGTTCGGAGTGCAGCCCCAGCCAGGCCAGCAGTGGTGGGACCACAGACTTGGCTGGGCTGGAGGCAGTGGGACCAGTGGCAGAAGCAGAGCAGGGCTGAAAGGCCTCCCCATGTCCAGCAAACTCCATGGTTTATGACCACTCAGGTCCTGAGGGTGCAGGACTAGGGAGAACCCACCTGCATGGAGCCTTTCTTCCAGTACTATGCTAGTGCTGGTAGCCACATGGGGCCCAGGATATCAGAGACACGGTGGGAGAGGTGATTGTTTTTACTGGACCAACTCCTGTTGCTCAAAGAGACAGGCTTTCAAACCACACAGCTCTTCTTCCCGTCTGGGCAAGACCAGCAGACGTCTCTCTATACTCTGAGTTGCGGTTACCAACAAACCCATCTGATCTCCGGGACGTGTTCCCTAACGAACCAAGACGTGGGCAAGCAGCCGACTGCAATTCATTGAGAGTATTGCAGCTATCGGGTCCCGTCCGGCCCAGCCCAGCCTCCTGCCTAACCCAGGCCAGAGAGTCTCCTCAAAGATTGCTCCCTCTGGCCCAGTAACTCCTGGCTGAGCTGGAGACCCAGCCCCGTTCCAGGCACTCCCTGGGGCACGTTTCCTCCATTACCTGGTTCATTTCTACAAGAAGCGCCGACCTCTTTGCTGACAGGATCTGCCACAGAGACAGGACGTGCTTCAGCTGGGTTTGGGGGACAACCTGGGATGGAACAACACAGAGAGGGATTTACCCAGAAAAGCCCTGACACAGAGACATAAATCCTCATTGCAGAAGTGAGCACATTCTGTGTTCATTTTGCAGCTGCCTCGCTGCTGCCAGAGTTTTAAAGAATGTCAGATTACTGAGCTGGTGGGAGTCACTGGCCAAACACTGGGAGCCAGAGTTTGCTGAAGTGCAAAAGCAGCTTTTAACAGCAATTTGCAGGCAGAGAGAGACTATTTCCTGTTTCAATTTAGTCAACTAGTTCAGTGCAGTGAGCAGTTCACTGAGTAGAACTCTGTGGCCAAGCTCTGGGTTGAAAAGTTGGGATCCTGCTGGTACCTGGCAGGCATTTTCAGAGACTGGCCATGCAGATTATTAATTAGCATCATTTATTAGTATTGTAGTCGTGTCTAGAGGCAGCCAGCACAAGGGGCTAAGATATAACAAAGAAAACGAATCCCTGTAAATAAATGCAGGGTAATTTTTTCAGAAGCACCTAAGTGCGTTAGGAATCTTCCGTTTTCAAAAGTGACCTGGTCTTGAGGGGGAAGTGGAGAGCTGAAAAACATGGGGAGCTAGGAGGTGGGTGAGCAGACTTCCCGCAGAATGTTTCATTTTAATCAACTTGGCCATCTCTATTCTATTCTATACAGGAGGGTTGGTCAGAGAATGGGTTTTCTTCCACGGATTATTTCAATTAAATGTTTGGTAAGAATTTCAACCTTTTCTAAAAAATCAGACAATTGATTTATTTCTCTGTCCAAAGTTTTCCATTTTGGATGAAATCCAAAAGTTCTGATTTCTTAGAAGGAGAGCTGAAATTTTCCATGGAAAGCAAAAATATTCAGTTAGCGAAAACCCCTCCTTTTTCTCAGCAGTCTAAAAACAATCCTACTGCATATTCATCTATGGTTAAAAGCATGAAAACAAAAAGTGTGTGTTCACTTTCATTGCTGTGCATTCAAAACCAAGTTACTCTCTTACTGGTAAGTCTCTGAACTGCTTTGCATGAGCCTCCATCTTCAGCTCGGTTCTGACATACTCCGTCAGGCGCTGCTCTGGGTCCCCTCCTGTCACGGCCAGGAACTCTGCAGCCACTTTCAGGGTGGAGAGGGCTCTGGAAATGTCACTCACTGACCTGGCATCTTCCATAATGCGTCTCATCAGACTCACGCTCAGGGGCTCCTATGGAGAGCAGCAGGAGACAAAAGGCTCTCTGGGATTCCCACAGCCAGTTCCCATTACACTCAGTAGCATGCAAGTGTGCTAGGCAACTTTGAAAATACGCAGCCTTGGGTGTTTCCACCCTGCCCCTGTATGATCCAAGCCAGCTCTCAGTGCCACCCAGACTGCACCATGCAGGGCTCAGGCAGCAATTTAAAGGCCCAAAGCCCCAAGTCCTTCTAAATCACCAGGTCCTGGGGCCCTCTGTTGGTGCCCTGCTCATGGGCTTGATCCTGGCCTAGTCTACAGCTGCTTCGTGCTGTTCCAACATCTCATGCTGAGCACCCAAACCCTGGAGGCACTGAAACACAAGTGGATTATTAGAGTGTTGCTCTTAATGAGCGTGTGGATATCATATAGGTTTGGATATTTACTCAACCTTCTGACTCTGTAGTGGCTGTGAAAGCCTTTTACAGTGCGAGGGAGGGAGAGAAAGATTTTGGAGCTGGGGGCGGGGACCCAGCATTGTTTTTTATCTTACCTGGTGCAGTTGATCTTTAACCTTAAGTTTTGTGGAGTGTAGAGTTTTCACATTGTTCAGTGTGATGGATGGAGTTGTCTGAGAAAGAAAACATAGCTAGGTTATAACGCATTTTTCAATTAAAAAAACCTGAAGCCACACCAAGAATTAGAGTATAATTTTCAAATGTGTCTAAGGGATTTAGGAGCCAAAGGCCCATTTTGAAAAGTGGCTCTGGTTCTTAGGGCCAGATTTTTAAAGGTGCCTGGTGTGATCTTTAAAAATCACAGATTGAAACCAATGGAAGTTCAGGCTAAAGTATTCAGAACTGCCTAAGTGACTTAGGAATGTGAGTCCAAATGTCACAGATGATTTAGTAACTTGGGTGCCTAAATCATATTGTTTTTCAGGGGGACTCAAGCATCTAATCCTGCTCCAGTGCTTTTGAAAATTCCACTAGGCCCTCTGGGTGCCTAAGTACTTTCAAAATCTGGCCCTAGGAGCCCAAGTCTCACTGCAAATCAGAGGGATTTAGGCACCTAAGCTGAGCTGGGGGGAGGGGAATATTTTTCCTGTCCTGTGAGAATTTGAAAGTTCAAACAATTCTCTCTTCCAAATCAAGATGGGAACTCAAAATCTTATACATTTTCAGTCAGAAAACCTGAAATAAATGTGGTTTGAGTCAATTGAAATGTTATGTTTTGATAATTTAAAAGAAATATTTAATTCTGGTTTTGACCTTTTTAAAAATTAAACTACAATTTCACACTCAGTTGTTCCAAACCAGCAGGTGAAATGAGGAAAAATGATGTTCTGATATTTGCAAAACACTTCTCCAGTTTTCTTTTTTTTCTTAATGAACAATTTGTCAAAATCAGCATGTTCCCACAGGTTTTGATTTTGACGAACTGATATTTTCCAACAATACTATGTCAACAAATTCACAACCAGCTCTTCTCCCAAGTGCCTAAATCGCTTTTCAAAAACAGGTCCTAGGCTCCAAAGTCATGCAGACACACTTGAATTTTTTAACCTAACCTAACTGATTTGCCAGTGCATAACTCGCAATTTACACCAGTATCACCCCACTGCAGGGAGCTAAACAGGCATAAATCTGGAGTAAGATGACAGTAAATCAGGTCTTTCACTTCCCACTGCTATTTCTACCTATCCCTCCTGATTAGATTGTGATCTGTACCGATTTTTGCTCGGCTGGGGATGACTCCACACAGGTGCCAGATCACTGAGTTACAAGCAGTGAAGGTGAAATTCTGGCTGTGCTGCAGGCTGTGGCAAAACACCGACTCCATGGTGTCACCCTGAACTCACCTGGACTTTCACAACGGGCTTCCCACTGATGAAGCGGTGAATCACTTGTCTCTGCAGCGTCAGGAAGTTGAAGTAGGTGGTCTTGGTTCCATCCTCCTCTAGCACATACTGGAAGTTCAACAGCGCCATGGTGACCAAGTCGCTCTCGGTAACACTTAATACAGAGGAAGGCTTCACCTCCTCTGCTGAAACAGACCTGGAAAACAGGACAGGACAACATTATTCCCATTTTACAGATGGGAAAACTGAGACAAGGTGAAAGGAAACTGACTTGCCCAATCCCACCCAACAGAACCATGGTTAGAATCTGGCTCTTCAATGGAGCAAAGGACTGTTTTATACCAATGGAAGGGAGATGGAGGCTCAGGATTGAGGTTTCAAGATGAATTGTGGATTTATGGGTGTGAGGAAGTGGGGGGTTTTGGAGGTTCAAAGGGGGGTGTTACATACAGGGGGCCTCAGTGCCCAACAGTTACTGATTTAATGTGACAAGGGGGGGGGAGTTTGTTGTTTCAGAGAACAGCCCAAAGTTGGAGCCGTGGTGTCTGGTATCCTGGTGGCCCCGACCCTGCTTGGAGGACACAGCCAGTTCTGGCCAGAGGACAGACAATAGGCTGCAGAGAGGGACCCGGCATCCAAACCCAGCTGACCTCAGCGAGGGGAGAACATTGGACGGAGGAGAGGAGGTGGAGAAAAGGGGCCCGGGAGACCCTCTTACCTGGGGAGAAGACAATGGATGGGGGAGGGGCTGTTGCTGGGGTTTTTTGGAGGCTCTGCTGGAAGACTGGGTGGTTTTTTGGGGGGACCGAGGGCAGAGCAGGCAGAGCTCAGCTAGCTCAGGGGAAGCTAATGTGTGTTCTGAGGGCCCAGGCCTACTGGCCTGAGAGACCCGTTGCTGTGTTCAAAGCTCAATAAACCCTTCTGTTTTGTGCTGGCTGCTGGTTGCTCTGGTCTAGAGAACAGGGGGGCGCTATTCCCTCTGGGAGTGGCGGCCCCGGGGGTCCAGAGAGAGGGGACCCCCCCAAGGGGGCTCACGGCAGAGGCAGGCAGCTGAAGGCCCTGAGAGGCACCGTCCCGGGGACCTGAGAAAGGGCTGTCTCACTGCCACTGGAGTGGAGTGGGCTCCCCGAGAAGGGGCTACCGCACTGGAGGGTGGGGGTCCCTCCAGGAGCTGAGGGGCCGAGTGTGGGCATGACCTGTGAGCAGTGACAACGGGTAACTAAAGTTACTTCATCGATGTGATTCCCTCGGGGGTGAGGGATGAAGGATACCTTTGCTTCTCCTTAGTGAGCTTGGCAGCTGTGTCAATGCAGCTGTTCTGCAGCTGTATTAAGAACTTGGTGACCATGGAAATGATGGATGGAGTGGTTGGTAGGAGGTCCAGGATGGCAGTGTCAGCACTGATCTCCTTGCTCTGCAGTTCCTCAGGGATGCTGATTTCTGTAACAAAGCAGAGAGTCCTTTACACCCGGGGCGTGAAACTAGGGAACCAGGTGTCCAATGGCTTCGGTAGAACTCGGCTGGGGAAGGAAACGTGTTTCACAAAATAATTCTCCAAATTAGAAAAAAATGAAAAGTTCCCCCAAGTCTAGGGAGTAATTTCCACTTGGGGCAGCGCTCAGCAGCGAATGTAACAGAGCGATGGGATTATTCCTGCCCTTTCAGGACACACTCCCTTCCTCACCCAGGGCTGTGTTCTTTCTGAGCTGTGGACATTGTAAGCAGCCCCAGTCAAGTCACTGGGACGACTGGGAGTGGGTTACAGCTGTTCCGGTCTGCACAGGATAGGGGTTACTTTGGGAACAGCTGGGAATCAGGCTATCACTCTGGTGCAGACTCAGCTTCGTTGCTATTAGAGAGCTGGTTTGGTATGTGATAGATTGAGAGCTGCACGGATACAAATGTCTGCTCACGGACGCAGATATCTGCAGACAGACATTGGTATCCGCTGATCCGCAGGGCTCTATCCCAAGAAACATTGTGATCAGCCCCGACTCAGCCAAGGTGTCTCCTGTCTGGGGTTGCACAGCCGTACTGGCAGTGGGGTTGGGTGCGGTACAGCTGCACGGCTGAGAAGAGCTGCCAGCATAGCAGAGGGAGCAGAGCCCTGAGGAACAATGGATACCGATGTCTATCCGTGGATACCCGCATCGGCAGAGAGAGATTTGTATCAGCGCAGGAGTCTAGTGATAGAAAAATACTTAGAAAGGAAAGTAAAACAACAGGAAAGTCAAAATACCTGAGCTCTGGGGGCTTGACCTTAAATTGCTCCACACTTTCCGAACAGTCTGCACGGCCCTCTCAAAAGCCAAACGCTGATCATCTAACGTCGGAAGGGAAGACGGCATTTATCAGCAGAGGTTTTCCATGGAAAAAAATGTGTTTCCCTCTTGCACAAATACCCCTCAGAGAAAAAGACTGGCTGAAATTGTAATTGGCCTTGTGACATCAAAGAAGATTTATCTCCACATGTGGGGTAGCATTTTGAAAAGCACTTAAGCTTCTTGAGAGCCTAAGATTGATTTTTGAGAGACTTAGGCTCTGATGGCTAGAGCCACAAAGGGGTTTAGGGACCTAACTGCCATTTTGTGCACCCGAACAACAAATTTAAATATTTATAATCACCACTTAACTCTGAAGTTACTTAAACTCCTACTGGTAAAGGCCCCAGCATGTCCACCCCATCCCTCCGTGAGCTCCCAGAGAGGCTGGAATGCCGCCATTTGTCGTTTGGTTGGTTGGTTGTTGTTCAGGACGTGCTGGATGAACCCCTGCCAGGTTTACTCGACCCTGGACTTGGCGACCTCCTGAGGTCCCATCTAGCCTGGTATGTCTCTGATTCTCCACCTATCGCAGAAGCCCCACCCAGCAGGCATTCTCAGAAGCCAGCTTCCAAGGCAGGCCCTGCCCAAGGCAGAGGAAACCGGGGTGGTGCCCTTGTACCAGCGGTTTGAGCTCTCACCCTAGTTGTGGGAGACCTGCACACAAACCCCCGTCTGTCTTACACAGATCCAAGACTAGAACCCAGGGTCCCAAGAGATGCAGGAGAGCGGCCCAACTACCAGGCTGTTGGGTACACTGGGCCAAGCCCTCAACCTCTCCTGTGGAACATGCTCCACTTTATATAAACTACTTCAATACTCACAGGAGCAAGGGGTCTAGAGCCTGGCTCTGCCAAGCGAGTGCCCTAAACACCAGGCTACAAAGCCCCTCTCTCTTCCTGGCCCAGTCTGTGAAAGTGTCAATCTGTGGCTTGCTTGATAGGATCAAGGCCCGGGCTACCCTTGCAGCACGTGGCTGGTGTAGAATATCCCGTACCAGTAAAGTCTCCCGCTGGGGATGCAGCTTACAGCAGCAAAACTGTGCTAGATAAGTCCTTGGGCTTCATCACTGCTGCTCAGGAAATAGGGTTGGACTGATGCTGGGGTGCACTGCGGCTTCCGGGGACTGTCCCCACAGTGCAGAGCTGCCACACAGCTGGCAGGTCTGGCTGCGAGGAGATCCCTGTGGTACTGGGGGCTCCGACGGAATGAGGAGTGGGGGATCTGGCCCCACTGACTGTAGCAGAACTCTGCTGAGGGTGGATTTTGGGCCCGAGCCCCAGAAGCCTGACGTGTACCTGTGAGGCAGTCGCGCTCCAGGAACGCTCGCACGGAAAGCCTTTTGCCTTCATGGATCTCGCCGGTTTGGAAACAGCGGATCAGAGTGCGCTGCAGAGTGAGAATGTCGGGCAGGTGCCGAACATGTTGGATGTGCTGGTGCTGCAGGAGAAAAGGAAGCGCCTCTTTAGCATGGGGCGGGGCACTATGGAAAAACCTAGGACACAGGCTCACAGATTGCTCTTGCAACAAACGCTGTTCCCAGCAAGCTGAGTGCTCAGGGCTCAAGGATCAGGGACTTTGTAAACAAGACAAATGGCACTAAGGAAAGTACCAGACTCCATCCACGTCTGCTTCCAATTGAAACAGCCACCAGACCCCAAACTTTGACTGGGCCATTGGTACATGTGTGGGTGTGCACACATGGGTGTATGCATGTGGGGGGGTGCACTCAAAGGTATGCATGTGTGGGGATGGGTGTGCACATGTGGGTGTATATATGTGTATACACGCGCGGAGGGGTGTGCATGTAGGTGTATGCATGTGTGTGCACATGCTTCCAACCCATGTGGTGTTTGTGTGTGCACATTCATTAAGATAATCCCAGCACCTTGGACAGCAGTTCCAGGAGCACAGGGAACTGGTTTGCAACATTATCTTGCTGCACCAGATGGGTCAGGCGCTGGACTGTCATCCGCTGTTCAAACCGCCACATGCAGGGCATGCTGATCAGCCCACTGCTCTGCTGGGGACTGACAGGCAGGGACTGGCCGTAGGCTACTTTCAGGAGAAGGCTGGAACCATGAGGTCCCTCCTCGATCATCTGCTGCTTTGCAGAAGCAAGTTTCTGCTCCAGCACCTGTGGAAGCGAGAGGCCGGTCAGGAATCGAGTCTTGTTACAGGAGGGGCCAGCTCTCCCCATGGGCCTGAGAGGCAGCACTGATGGGGCGGGGCTAAGGCACTCGACTAGAGATCTGGGTTCAGTTCGTGGCTCTGCCACTGACTCCCGGAGCGATCTCAGAGAAGCTGTTTCACAACCCTGCATCCCTACTTCTCACCTGCAAAAAGGGGACAATAATCTTGCCTTTGTCTGTGTCAACTGGGGGCTGTACAGGGCAGTGACTGACTTTCACAGTGTCTGTGCAGTGCCTGGCATGATAGAGTGGGGTGTGTGTGTCTGTGCAGCACCCGCTAAGGCTGATGGATGCTCCCTAAAAGATGTGGGCACTGCCACCCAAACCATGGTTCCACCCGTCTGCTGTAGGCCCCGCCTCTGCACTGCCCATCCCCCCAAGACCCCACCCCCTCCACTCTCTCTCCTCTGTTGCTTGCCCTTATGGGGGGGGTATAAAGTGATGGGGCCGTGCCCCACTCTCACCCCCCGCTCTCCCTGCCTCCAGCACACAGGGGCTCTTCCTGTGTGTCTCTATGCAGTGCTGAGCACAACAGCCCGTGATCCTGGTTTCAGCTCAGAGGCCCTACTGGACTCTTACTAACAATAATGAAAAGCCAGGAGAACTCCGAGAAAAGCCGAGCGGCAGGCAGTGTAATACTAGGTTACAGACATGCAGGGATTTCCTCTCTAGCATGCTGAACACGATGGACTGGTTGTTGCTGGAAAAATGAGCCAGGCTTAATATAGTCTATGCTGTTCTGCCAGGGTCTTATAACATGCCCATCACTGGGGCATCTGAGCACCGAGGGATTGTTGGGGGCAAAACAAGGACCATTTAGAAATATTTTCTGTGACTTCTTGTTTCAGATGGTGGCATGGACCTGCGAGGTGGGTCTTTGCTGGCTCTCTCTTATTCTGGGTGAACAACTGGCTATATGTGTGATATATTTATCATGTACAGGCCCTCACGTACCTGGAAGAAGGGCTGAGTTACAGCTTTGAAGCCATTTTCCCACAAGATTCTGTCTTCTTTTTCACGCATAAACTTAATCGCCATGTTTGCGTCTGTAAGAAATGCACCGTTACACACCAACTTTCACCATGCAACATACTATAATGAGCAGCTCTAAAGCTGAGCAGTTGCAGGAAATATTGTTGTTCATTGGTAGCACAATGAATCACGGGTGTGACCAGGCAACTGGATTCCTGAGTTATAAGACACAGGAGGACATTAAAATATTAGCCAGTTAAAAATCAGGGTACTGGGTGGTTTGCAGAATCTTAGACCAGAAGACAGTGTTGTGGTCATCTGCTGTGACCCCCTGTGGAACGCTGGCCACGGAGCCTCACCAGTGATTTCTACACCATGCTCGTCCCCTCGCCCTGAGCTACTGCACATCTGTTAGAGAGAGACACCAAGTCTGACGGGCAAGAGTCCAAGTGAGAGAACCCACCTGATCCCAATGTGAGTTATCCTGTTGGGCCATTCCCACCCCAGCTGGTAAACTTTTTGGACCTAATTTTAGTCTTTGTGTTGCTTTGTCAAAAATACAGCAGTAAACAGAAAACACAAATTAAAAACCAGAAAAAAAAAAACCCAACAGCTGCTAAACCAGGGGTGGGCAAACTTTTTTCTCCTGAGGGCCACATTGGGTTCAGAAATTGTATGGAGGGTGGGGTATTGAAGGATGGGGTATTGAAGGATGGGGGAAGCTGTGCCTCCCCAAACAGCCAGGCATGGTCCAGCCTCTACCCCCATCTAACCTCCCCCTCCCTCCTCGACCTCCTGTCCAATCCCCACTCCGCTCCCCACTCCCTGACCATCCCTGAGGGACCCCCTGCACCCCACCCCTTACCACTCCCCTGGGACCTCCTGCCTTACTCCCCTTCTTTCTGTCCCCTGCTGACTCCACCGCCCAGAGCAGAGGGCTGGCAGTGCAGAAACTGTGCCACCCAGGTGCTGGGGGAGCTGAGGCTGGGGGAGGGTGAAAAGAAAGGGAAGGGCCAGGAACTAGCCTCCCCAGGCAGGAGCTCAGGGGTGGGACTCAAGATCTGGCAAGCCAGAGTGGCCCATGGGCCATAGTTTGCCCCCATGCTCCAAAACGAGGCGTTTCTGACCGGCTGTGCTGTCGAGGACGTGTCTGAGGAACAGGTGGACTGTCATTGTTGCATCATCTATGTTCTGACTGAGCGACTCGGCCAGGAACTGGAGGTCTTTCCCCAGGTGGTCACAGAAGAACTTTTCGGCATCCTGGGGCTTCACTTTCATTAGCTCCAAAATGGACTAGAAGGCAAAGAATTTCCATGGCTTAGCTCCATGGGAGCATTTCTCCTCTGACAGGTACAGACACCTCCATAAAGGCCATATGTGACTTAGCCAAAGCCTGCTAGAGGTGTACAGCACGGAGCAGTTAGGATAGACGTTGTGCAGGGACATTGGCTTTCCTACCTGTCTGTCTGTAAGAGTCCCCAGGAGCATGGCAGAATGGAGCAGCGCCCTGGCCATGCAGACTGAGGCTGCAGGCAAGTCCCTCTCCGGCTCGTTGTTCCGCGAGGTCGGACTCCCCAGCACGTAGCCTGTCTCCGTTTTATCCTTCGTGCTGTAGTAAGAGACCACAACTTATCTGAGAGTCACAGCGGTCAGACTTTCCCCCCACATTTCAAAATGGGCCCCTCATTTCTAGACAGATGTGGAGAAATTGGAGAACGTTCAGAGAAAAGCAACGAGAATGATGAAAGGTCTAGAGACCAGGAGCTTTGAGGGAAGACTGAAAAGAACTCGGCTTGTTTAATTTGGAAAGGAGAAAACAGAGAGGGGACATGATAGAGGTTTTCAAGTATCTAAAAGGGAGTTATAAGGACAGGAAGAAAAATTGTTCTCCTTGGCCTCTGATGATAGGACAAGCAGCAATGGGCTTAAACTGCAGCAAGGGAGGTTTAGGTTGGACATTAGGAAAATTTTTTTACATGTCAGGATGGTTAAACACTGGAATAAATTGCCTAGGGAGGTTGTGGAATCTCCATCACTGGAGATATTTAAGAGCAGGTTAGACAGACACTTGTCAGGTATGATCTAGATCAGTGGTCTCCAACACGGTGCCCGTGGGCGCCATGGCGCCCGCTGGGGCATTTATGTGTGCCCGCCGAAACACCTGGGCTGGCCCCGCCCCCGGCACATGCGCAGTGCCAGCCCTGGGCTCAGGGTGCATGGGCGGCCCCTGCCCCGGGCACACGGCACATGCGTGGTGCCAGCCCCGGGCGTGTGGTGCAAGGGCAGCCCCTGCCCCGGGCATGCGGCACATGCAAGGTGCCGGCCCTGGGCTCAGGGAACATGAGTGGCCCCCTACCCTGGGTGCGCGGCACATGCACGGTACCGGCCCTGGGCTCAGGGCGCGTGGGCGGCCCCTACCCCCGGCGCACGATACATGTGCAGTGCCGGTCCTGGGCGCAGGGCGCGTGGGCAGCCCCTGCCCCGGGCTTGTGGTGCATGCATGGCCCCACTTCCAGAAGCGCGGCGCATGAGTGGCCCCACCCCCGGACACCTGGCATGTGAGCAGCCCTGCCCCCGGACGCCCGGCAGCCACAAAAGGTTGTGGACCACTGATCTAGATGGTGCTTGGTCCTGCCTTGAGGGCAGGGGACTGGACTCAACCTCTCAAAGTCCCTCCCAGTTCTAGGATTCTATGATTGTATGATTCCCACAATACCTGTATTTATTTGGTGTTTTACCCAACCCAGTTCATAACTACAGTGCGTGTGGGATCACACTGGGGTGGGGAAAAGGACTGGAAAACCGCACCTATAGTTCCCCCAGTAAACAACGTCCAGACAGCTGTGTGGGGTTCACTTGACACAGTCTCATTCGTTCCTTTTCCGTACCACTCGATTTTAAACTTACATGTCTACTTGCTCAAATCCCTCCACGGGTTTGTAACTGATCCCACCGACCTCGGAGCCGCACAGGCATCTGTTAACTTCCACAGGCCGTCCGCACTGTTGTCACAGGAATAATATCAGCGTTAGACACTTGTTAAAGAGCCAGCAAGGCAACAGCTGTAGCATGGTTTGCGCTACTGCCAGCCGGACAGCATCGCTCTGGGCAGCTGAGCAAGTAACAGACTTTGCACAAACCACTGGTGGCAGAAATGTTCAGAGCAAGGAACAGGAGAGAGGGCAAGCATGCAACACAACGGCCTTGTGAGCAGGATCACATTTCTCTGAATAGCTGGGTGGAGTTAGGGCTTGTCGTGCGGGGGAAGTCGGGTGTGAATATACACGCACCAAATGTCTGTGGAGCCTGCTCCTGTGTGTTAAAAGTACTACTGAATCAACACAGCTATGATGAAACCCTGGTACCACAGACTAGCTTGGATGCACAGCAGTGACAATCTCCGGCCCAGACATCAGGCCAGCCCTGCGGTGGAGGTTTAGGTGCAATGGGAGTGCATGTTTCTATGTAGGGAGATGGGGTTTGGAGTCAGTGTGGGCCTCTGGAGCCATGTCTCAGCAGCAATCGCCCTGCCCTGAGAAGTCCCACACGTACGTCACAGAGACACAGAGACACAGCAAGAGGCTGAGGATAAACCCACAGCCAGCAGCAGCTATGAAGAGATACTTACATTTTCAATGCGCCAGATCTGCCCGCACTGGCATCCTGTGGGAGAGGGAATCAGACCCATCAGCTACCGGCACAGTCACAAACCCAGCAGTCCCAAACCTCAGCTGGGGGGACCGCCATAGCTCCACAGACACCTATGGAGCGACGCCCGATTCGCCCCTGCTGGGATCTGACCCCCAGGGACCTGGCCCCAAATTTCCTGCTTGTAAAAAATGATCTTGTTAAAGAACATTCTACACCCGATTTCTGGCCAGTCGGAAAGGACCTGCCTGGAGGGACAGAGCTGGCTTGAAGCTAGGATGTAAGAGTGTAACTATTCAGACAGTTAACTGAAAAGCACCATTACGGTTACTCGCCCGCTCCTAGCCCTGCTCCCGGGGAGCTCTGTGCTGAGGGCTCTGCAGTGTAAAGCTTATACTGCAGAGCCTGCAGGCGGCTCAGCCAGTTCCCTGGGTACAGGGCCAGGAGCCAGCTGATCGCATAAGCCAGCTCCTGGCACACATTGGCTCCAGCTGCCAGCCCCACTCTAGAGAAGCCAGCTGTGCTACTCTGGAGTATAAGCTTAATACTGTGAGGCCCGCAGTGTGTTTAAGCGAGTAATTACTAGGATTTTCCACAGTTATATTTTTAACTGGTTTTTACAGCCAGGGAGAATAGCGCTATAAAGTTTTTCTGAGACTTACTCCAGAGTTTCTCTTCACTAGTGATTTTCCAATTCGTCACGTCAAAGAGCACGTCGCTCGGCATGGTGGGAAGGTAGGTCCCCTTGTAAACAAACCAGAGTTAGGCACCTTTACTACAGCACCGGGGCAGAGCGGAATGAGGGGGTTGTGGCTAGAGTGGGGTGGGCAATCATTTTCACAGGGGGGCCACTTCATGAATTTACAGGGGCAGATCATAAGTTCTCTCTACCCCAAAAGCAGCTGGACAGACAGAAATGGCCCCCGGTGGGTGCTCGGTCTTGGCAGGTGGTGCAAAGGGGGTAGGGAACGGACTTCACAGAGCGGCAAGGGCTGAGGAGGGATGTGCTCTCTCTGCTTCAGATTCACCTGGACAGCACTGGGCTGGAAGCAGATGGCTCTGAAGAGCTCGGTGAGCGGGTTCTGGGACAGGGCCAGCGTGAGAGCCGTGTGCAGCACCACTTCCAGCAAGGCTGCGTTTTCGTGGCTGCCAACATCACTCATGAGCTTTTCCAATTTGTTCTCCTCGGATTCTTCTGAGGGTGGCGGTGCCTGCAGGAGCCTCTCCATGTGCTTTGTGATGATCTACCGGCAAGCAAATAGAACAGAGGGTCTGATGGGCTCCACTTCGCCCATTTCACTCCAGCAGGCCAGCCTGATCTTTGGCGCGTTTCATTATCAGGGTGAGATTCACCCCTGTGCAGAGGAGCCAGCCCAAGGCAAAGGTGAGGTGTGAGGTGACTGCTCAGAGCATACAAGCCTGCAAAGAGATCTGCTTTGTTCTATGCCTGGTTCTAAATAACAGGAGAGTCACAGCACCCCACCTGACCCGGTGTCTGGGCAGCTCAGACCTTAAAGGCACATTCCCTATAACTGTCAGACACGAATTAAGTCCCATTCAGGTGCTATGTGGCAGATCCTAAGCAGGTGCAAATACTGTGGCTCCCTGCACTGGGGTGAATTTGACCCAGACAGAATCACCGAGCCATGTCCTATTAAAATAGACACTCACTGTTAGCTGCTGGGCTCCTTCGGAGTCTGTGTTCTTAATGTGGCCTCTTGCCCTGTCTAGAGTCACGAACACGAATTAAGTCCCATTCAGGTGCTATGTGGCAGATCCTAAGCAGGTGCAAATACTGTGGCTCCCTGCACTGGGGTGAATTTGACCCAGACAGAATCACCGAGCCATGTCCTATTAAAATAGACACTCACTGTTAGCTGCTGGGCTCCTTCGGAGTCTGTGTTCTTAATGTGGCCTCTTGCCCTGTCTAGAGTCACGAGCATCAGCAGCTGTTTTTGTTATAGGCTATGTCTATACACAAAGGTAAGTCGGAAAAAGATACGCAAATTGCAAATGACAATTTGTGTATCTTTTTCTGCTTTTCTGTCAGAAGAGACTTTTCCGAAATTCGGCACGTCTACATGGCACCAAATTTCGGAAAAGCCTCCTCTTTCGAACCATCCCTTCTTCCTCGTAAAACAAGGTTTACAGGGATGCCGAAAGAACGCATCCGCTTTTCTGAAAAACATTTTTGGAAAAGTGGATGCGTTCCTTGGATATGGCATTGCTTTTTTGGGATACTGCCGGCATCCCGGAAAAGTGCTGCAGTCTAAACATAGCCTTAGTTAAGGCTTGTCGTTTTACATCAAGAGGGAGCTAAAGAATCCCGTCAGAGCAGTTTCATTGGAAGGCTAATAAATGTTTTTCATGTGTTTTATTATTGATTATTATTCTTATGTATTGTTTCATAATTTATTATGGCAGTGTCTAGACTGGGGCCCGTAGTGCCAGATGCTGCAATGACTGACATCACTGAGCGACATAGTTCTGGCAAACAAATCCCCACGTAGACAGAGTTATGTCAGCAAGCGGGAGACCCTTTCCAAGAGATGTCACTACCACCTGTCGGGGAGGTGGATTAACTACACCAGCATAGAGTATCTTCATTAAAGCGCTGCAGTGGGGCCAGTGCTGGGTTTTAAGTATAAACCTGCCCACAGTAATGGAGACCAGTGTCTCATTGTGTGAGGCACCGCACAGACATGTACCGAGAGACAGTCCCTGCCACAAAGTGCTCTCAGTCTAACTAATTCTGCAAGTAAAACCCTAAGCGCAACAAGACTGTCTCCCAAACTCTGTGGCTGTGTCTACATTGGCAAGATTCAAAATCTTGCCACCTGTCTACACTGGCCGTGAGTATTTGCGCAAGAACACTGACTTTGTAATGTACAAAATCAGTGGCTCTTGTGCAAATATTCTGATGCTCCCGCTCAGGGATAAGCCCTCTTGCGCAAGAATACAACGTTAATTGCTTGCAGAAGAAAGCCCGATGGCTAAAATGACCATCAGAGCTTTCTTGCGCAAGAGAGCATCTACACTGGCACGGATGCTTTTGTGCAAAAGCACATCTCTTGCGCAAAGGCACAAGCTTTTCCGTTAAAAGTATTTGCGCAAAATCATGCCAGTGTAGATTCAGCCTGTGGGTTAGTGCAGTTTTTGCTCACCAAGGACAAAATTGCTCTCAGATGAATACAGATGTTCTTAAATTAACCATCCCCTTGAAAAAAGGTGCAAACCATTCACACTATTTCTCTAAACATAAAATTCTGTTGCCTTTGGAAGCTGTTTACCTGTGAAGTCTCAATTCCTCTGGGTAAAATCCACTGCTCTCGCCGAAGAATCTTCTGCATCATGTTCAGCCCATAGAAATTACAAAGATTTCTAATAAGGAATATTTGAGGCCACGGCATCTGGGCCTTTTGAACCAGATTTTTCATGGAATTCACAAGCTGGACCTGTTTCTCTGCAATTTCAGCGCTGGCCCCTGTATTCTCCTCTGCAGTTGCAAAGCAGAGATCTGTGTTAGCCCCAAACCAATGCAACATAGCTGCCTCTCACCACCATTGTTCTGACCACACACTCAATGACATCCTGGCTGTAGAGTTACCATAATATTTAAAATAAAAGTGGAGAAAAAGGAGAAGGTCAAGAAAGAAGGGTTAATGTAAGGACTGAAGTGAAGATTTACAGAGGCAAAATGCAATAGCACCTCCCAGTGGAAAATTGCTTCATGGATAAAATTCCTCCTGTAGGACTAAATGGGGCCACCATTACTTTTGTGGGAACAGTGAGTTTGGTCTGATAGAGCCAACAGCATTTAGAGAGGTCAGACACTTGTATAGAGTCATTGATTTTAAGGTCAAAAGGGCACTTTGTGTCCAGCCTCCCATATAATCCTGTAAACCAACAGTGGATGTTTTCTAAAAGCTCTGACCAAGGAATTATCTTAGGCTATGTCTACACTTGCAGCCTAATTTGAAATAGGGCTGCAAAAGTAGGCATTTGAAATTGCAACTCAAGCCCAGGATTTAAATATCCCACACTTGATTTGCATCTTCCCGGCCGGGCACCATTTTTTGAAATTGACAAGCCCGGAATAACTGCCTGCGCCTACATGCGGAAGTGAAATGAGCATTCGAAATAAAGCCCTATTTCGAAATACCTGTTATTCCTCCTGCAATGAAGTTTAACAGGTATTTTGAAATAGGGCTTTATTTCGAATGCTCATTTCACTTCCGCATGTAGGCGCAGGCAGTTATTCCGGGCTTGTCAATTTCAAAAAATGGTGCCCGGCCGGGAAGATGCAAATCAAGTGTGGGATATTTAAATCCTGGGCTTGAGTTGCAATTTCAAATGCCTACTTTTGCAGCCCTATTTCAAATTAGGCTGCAAGTGTAGACATACCCTTCGAGAGCTTCTCTGGCCTGTGCTCTGCTGGAGATCAGACTGAGAAAAACGAACTGAAATAATAAAGTTAAAATGAAAGGTAAAAGTCAAAATGAAACTAAATGAAAAAGAAACAAATAAAATAAAATATTCCATTTCAAATTTTCAAATTTCTGTTGAAAATTCCATTAAATGTTTATCCAAAAGTTCCCACAAAACATTTCTGCTCGGATGCAACAGCATTTCTAACGGAAAACTGGTTCAGCTGAAAATGTTTCCATCAGCCCTAGAAATTACTCAGAAAAAACCCAACCTTTGGAGCAAACAACACAGAGCTGTATGGATTTCTTCCCACTTTTCCCTGTTGTCCAGCATGACTGGAAGACAATTAGAAATTCCACTTACCACCCAGCAGCTCTGTGCCGCCAAGCACGGCTGCGACGTTACTGATGGCGAGACGGAGCTTGGCAATCATCTGCAGGTTTTCAATGCTGGTGGAGGTAGCGGAGCTGGGAGCAGACAGATTGGCAGTGGAGAGGAACTGCTCTGAATTCTGCCTGGCATCTTCTTGAAAGGAGGAATACATAGAATCCTGTTCAAGAGAGAGTTTTTGTTAAATGTACAGTAGTGAACAGACAGTTCTTTTGTGTAAAGGGGATGCAGTCCATTGGGCACGTTTTTTAGTGACTCAACTGCCCCACCCCCTACCCCCAACCATACATTAACCTTATTGGCTACAAAAAAGAAATTTATTCTGGTCATTTTGAAACACTGATTAAAAATAACATTGTAAAACCTCCTGTCTCTCTCCCCTGTCCCTCCTCCCCACCTTAGGTTCTATCCCTCCATATCTTCTGCCCCTCTCTGTCCCTTCCCCTCTCCTTGCTTCCTAGCTTCTAAGACCCTATGGGTAAAATTTTCAAAAGCACTGTAGTGATTTAGAAGTTGAAAGTCACTAAATGTTTATGGGACTTGGGTTCCTAAGTGACTTAGGCACTGGTGAAAATTTCCTCCTAAGTCTCTTTGAAACTCAGTGAGATTTAAGCTCCTAAGTACCAAAATTATTTCTGAAAACAGGAGAACTGGCTATTAATGGTGTGTTTCTCCTTTTCTGAGTGCCCAGTGTGAGATACCTGGGACTGACATGTTTGTCATGGCTAAAGCTGAGGCCTACAGGAGCTGTGCTGTGAACGTACAAAATGCTCAGTGCGCTGACAGTCAGGCCCCAAGGATCAAAAATTGGGCACCCAAAATTAGTGGAACTTTTGACAATTTGTTGGGAATGTCTCTGCATCTTGGTTCATCTAATCTCAGAGGAGTGTCTTGAAGATGAATTTGTTCATATGTGAAGCATGCGGATACCCTAATGAGTTAATGCTTCTGTATTCAGGGCAGGGTTCGGATGGTGTGCAGAGAATAAGGTGGGGCCACACAGGTTTGTACAGCACTAAGCACAATGGGATTGTGGTCTAGGATTAGTCTTTTAGGTGCTACATTAATATAAATAAATAAAGAAGAAATATATTGACTATCCCTTCATTGATTGAGGCAGGGTCTTGATGGAGAAAAGAGCATGTGACTATGTAACTGCAGACTCAATCACAATGCACCTGCCAGAGCACATGGTGAACAAGTGAAGATTATACAGATAACCTTAATTTTTGCTCTTCCTAAGACTGGAGTACTTGACATTGCAACCTTAAACGTTCTTTTAATGAAATTATTATTGATGTCATTTTGTGTACACACAAAAGTAACAATGAGTCATGCGGCACCTAATAGATTTATTTGGGCCTAAGCTTTCTAGGGCAAAGACCCACTTTCTTACCCCACTGGTGTGACTCACCTCAAAGCAGCGCACGACCATGAAATAGAAATCATCACGACTGCTTTGATTTAAGGTTAGCATTTCCTCCATCCTGGAGAGATAGCCTTCCAGGTGCTCCTTCACATCGGCCAGTCTAGGAGGGAATGGACATCCCTTAGAAAACTATGTATACCCAGCGTAGATCTGGGAGTGAAATATAATTAATCTAGGAAGCACTGGAGCCTACCTGCAACGGAGCAGCATTTTCAAAAGGGAAGACTTGACAGTAGGACTCGGGTCCATGCACTCTTCAAAGGGCGACAAGTCGCTTGTTGGCTTGTACACTTCAACCAAAGAGTAGAATGGATTAATTTTTCATTCTGAGCATGAGACCAGACCCCAGCTGGTGTGAATCAGCTGCAGCTATACTGAAGACAATGACCCAAATCCACAGCAGGTGTCATTGGGCCCTAAATGCTCCAAAACCAGAAGACAAATAAACCCCCCTCATATTTATCGTATTTATCGTTTGACTTGTTATCTCATGATTTTAAAGTCACCCTCATGTGTTTGGGGGCCTGACTCAGGATATCTGAACAACTGGGACCGAGCCGTTCCTGTGTGACACATATCACTCACCCTTTCTAACCTCCTGATGGTCTGGGTTAGATGGTTTGCAGGCCACAAATTTAATCAGCTGTTCGATGATCTCTGCAGATGGGGGGATTTGGTCCCCAAAACAGTAGCTACCGACAAACTCCACAAAGAACGAGTTGCACTTTCTCCTGAATTTGTTGTGACTTGCAACTGCCTCCCTAGAGGGAGAAAAAGATTTTTTTTTTAAATGTCACTATTTTAACACACATCACAGACAGAATCAGGATGGCTGAAGCTAAATAAATATTGTGGTGACCGCACAATACCTGGTGACCTGGGAGGCGGTGGGCGTGTAATTCTCGGGGATGCTCTCCTTGCAGATCTTGCACTGCCTGATGTTCCACTCCAGGATGCACTGGGTGCAGAAAATGTGACCACAGGGCAGCTCAGCTGGGTCAGTGATCTCCTTCTGGCAGCTTTTGCACTCGTTCACACCCTTCCTGAAAGACACAGCAAAAGCAAGATGCAATTCACAGGGTCTGATTCTCCAGACAGACGGAGAGGGAAGAAGGAAGGACAGACATGCAGGGCTGGACCCAAGCTCCATGGCAATTTACCTAACTGATTGTCAGAGGGTGGCTGGCTCCTTTAAGTGAAGCAGATGCTATTGGCTCTGCCAGAAGAGGTGCTTCCAGTTTGGCCAATTAAAAGGCAGAGCAGCCCTTGGGGCTCCAAAGGATGAGGGAGGAGCAGGGACGGAGAAGACCCTGAAGGAAATAGGAGGAGGCTCCTGAGGAAAGGCTGAAGGCAGAGGAAGCAGACAGGTTCACTGGCTGACCTCCCAGGCCTGAGCGCCAGGGCCAGAGGGCTGAAGGCCAGGGGAGCAGTGGAGGGGCTTACCCACTGACATCACCACCCAGCAAAGGTGGGGAAAGGCAGCATAAAAGGAGGAGTGATGGGTGCTTCCCAGTGAGGACTTTCTCCCAGCAGAGAGGCTGGGGGAGTAGGGGTGGGGTTTGCCTCTGGGAAGAGCAGGGCTCCATTCTACCCAGAAGGCTGCCATGGCTTTCCTGGTAGAAGGGGTGGGGAACCCTTTTCTGGTTGGGGACTACACACCAGTGAGAAGCAAAACAACAAACCGGGCACCTCCCTGGCCTGGCTCCCAACAAAGAGAAAACCCCTCACTGGCTTGGCTTGAAGGTTACAGGTGCTCAAGATCCAGCCCCAGGATGGGGGGAGGGTGTCAAGGCTCAGGGCTGCTGACACTTGAGGTCCAGTCCCTGAGGTGGGATCATCGAGGCTCACTGGGGCCAGATCCCAGTAAGCTGGAGGCTGGATCAGCCCATGGGCCTGGTGGTGGAAGGACAGGAGAGGACTGACAAAGCCCTGGTGTGGTATAAGACACCAGAGATTGGTGCTATCTGCTGTCATGGGATTTTAGGGCCTAGATGTGCTGCAAACTATGGATGATGTTTTGGGACTCTTGTTTTGGCTTCTTTGCGTGAGATTTTTAAAATAAACTGGCCCCAAGGAGGAATGTTTTTGAGGGAGGGGAGCCTGTTGGGGAGTCCTGAGTGATGAGTTAGGCATGCCACAGTACCAAAAATATTGCCAGGAGATAAACTAACTTGCAAACATAATTAACAGACACATTGCTTGACAAAAATGCCCTTGTTGAAAATTTACCCACGAAGATCATTTTTGCTTGATTGCTCGACTTACACGAGATAAATGGTGGCAGCATTGTTGTTGCATCTCTTCAGCACTTTTGTCACAACTTCGAAAATCTTTGCTGGTTTATGGTCTTCAATTTTGACCAGTAACTACAGAAAATAAAGCACAGTCAGTTTCTTTACATTCTATATGACAAAAGAAGTGTTAAAAAAATTACATTCAGAAAAGCAAGAACTCAAAATTTAGGATATCCTAGAATCAAGATTGCCCATTCAACCTTAACTCTGCCCCCACATGCATCTGAAGACGTGGGTCTTTGCCCACGAAAGCTTATGCTCTAACACTTCTGTTAGTCTATAAGGTGCCACAGGACTCCTCGTCGCTTTTGCAGATTCAGACTAACATGACTACCCCTCTGATACTCTGCCCCTTTAGTGCATGCAGCCTCTAGCATTGTATAACATCACACAGGAAATCTGTGGGAGAGCCCAGACTAGATTCCAGGTCTCCTGAGTCTCAGCCCAGAGCCTTAAGCATTCTTCTCATTCACTGTTCATCTTGTGCATAGGAGGAGGCAGGAGTCTGAGAAAATACATGGCACATGATCATGTAATTAAAGTCTGTACCATAGCGCAGAAACACCAGGGCTGAATTAAGGATGCAAAGGTTTTCAGAGGGACCTGAACCCAAACTTTGCAAACTTGGGTTCCCAACATTATGCACACATATCCATTGCTGAGCACATTAGCTGAGGAAGACTGGTCAAAGCATATTGTTTTGTCAATAACCCAGTTTTCCATCAACAAAAACTTCAATGAACTTTGTCTGTGTTCTTCAAAAACACCTCTGTTTTTGTGAGAAAACTAAAATCCTGAAGCATGGAAATAGTATTTTACACGGCAATAGCCACATATTCGGTATAATCTATTACCAAAAATATTAAAAATCAAAACATTTTATGTGAAAAATTACTCCCAGATGTCCTCCTTCCTAACGCTGCTGGGGCCTTGGGCCATAGCCTCTCATTCCATGCACATTCAGAAAAGCATGGGGGTGCTCTTTTATACACCTACATTCCAGAGAAAGACAAACTGCTTCATAACAAGCTTTAGCAGTTTCTCGTCCATGTTCGTTTCATCGTGTAGCAGGTGATCGATGAGCAGATAGACAATGTTGGTGCAATTCCACTGGTGTCTGTAAAAGAAACAGAACTGCTTTCTCTGCTGGGAAAAATAATTCTTCCCCACATCTCTGGACAAATCTAGCCACCCGGATATAGGAACTGAGCATGTAAACAGGTCCCTTGGCTCACAAAAACCCCAGCATCTGATGGCTTGCAGTCAGGGCTGCTGAAGGCAAATTACAAAAAGAAGGGGAAGAGAACACAAGAGGAATCAAAGGGGGAAAATGTTTTGTGCTTTCCTCTGCTACCCGTGTAAAGTGAGGAAAGCCTCCATGGAATTATGGGCCAGGCCGAATTTCTGAGGGGATTTGCTCTTCCTTTGTTGACAGAACAAGCTCTGAAGAAAGAGCCATGAAGGAGTAACAGCTGAGGTTTTAAAAGGAACATGAACTGGAAGGGACAACATGGGGCATGAAGTCTAGTCTCTGCTGCCACTGGCAAACCCGTCAGATAATCCTGTTCATAAACGTATCAAGCTTCATCTTCCAACGAGTTAGGGTGTTTGCCCTTCCCTCTCCCCCGCTCCTTTTAGGGCTCTTCCAGAACCTTCCTCCCTCTGATAACTTGAAACCTTCTCATTTCCAGTCTAAATTCAGCCATGTTCAGTTTATCCCTTTTTTTCTTGTGCCAGCACTGTCCATTTGCTTCAATAGCTCTTTGCCCTCCCTGGTGAGTATTTCCCGCTCCATGGAAAAGGATGACTTTTCATTGAAAAAACAAAGTGCAAAATATTTGCAGTAACTGAAGTTTTGGGTAAAAAAATATGTAATTTTTTTTTATAATTTCCATATGGAAACTGCTGGAAAATGTTTAAATTTCAAGGTTTTCAAGATAAATTTGGAAAATTCTAAGGAAATCGGACACTGTCTGAAAAAAAAAAGTTTAAAGGAAAACCCGTCTCTTTGCTTGGGGAAAAAAGTTTTCAGAGAAAGGTTTTGAGTATTGCATATTTTTTTAAAGTTTATATTCTTTAAAATACATGATTTTGAGGGGGAGTGCTACCACTTACAATACGCTTTTCAATAATTCCCCTTTGTTTTGGTAAAATCTCATCTGGTAATCGTCCAACATGATCAGCTCCAGCGTGTGCTTAATGCATTTGATCCTCTTCAGCCAGCTCAGGCAGGCGTTGAACGGCAGAAGCACCTTCTCTGTGGGCTGCAGCTGCTTCAGGAGGATGCTCACAGCATCAAGAGCTACAAACTGAATTGATATTTAAAAACAAATGAGGTGAGGTTTCAGGACTAGCCCTTGTGATACAGGATGGGGGGGGCAAAGGAAGTAAAATGACAGGGCAGGACTATCGCTTGCAGAAGTGTTGCAGCAACAGAACTGGAGTAGGTTATGAAGGAATGACGTGTGTACGCACACACACGGTCATCAGCAGGGACTGAGCTCTGGTGGTTAAGCATCAGCGACGAAGGCCCCGGCCATCTGAACTGAAGAGATAACCCTATTAATGGCAAGACAGGAGCAGCAGCTGAGACAGTCAGAGCGTGCCAGCATGTTACATAGCCAGCTGCCTTGGATTTAACCTGGTTTGGCTTGTTATTATGGACAGGTCTGTGGCCAGTATAAGTCATTTTTAAAGAGCTTTTTTTTTTTAAACTCACTCCTTAGTTTTCTCTTTGTTAAGCTAAATAGGTTGAGCTCCTTGAGTCTGTCACTATGAGGCAGGTTCCGAATCCTGTCATCATTCTCGCAGCTTTTCTCTGAACCCCTCTCCAGTTTATCAGTATCCCTCTGGAAATGTGAGTACCAGAACCGGACACAAGATTCCAGCTGCAGGCACACCAGTGCCAAATACAGAGGTAATGCGACCTTCTTACTCCTACTGCAGATTCCCCAGGATCGTGTTAGTCCACCGCTTGGCACTGGGAGCTCATGGTCAGCTAATTAACCACCATGACTCTCAGATCTTATTTGCAATCCCTGTCTCCTAGATTAGAGTCCCTGCTCCTGTAAGTATGAGGGGTATAGTCCTTGTTCCCCTCCATATATATTTAGCCTTATTCAAATGCATTTGGTTTTCTTGCACCTAGCTTACCAAGTGACCTAGATCACTTAACATCAGTGACTGTTCTCATCATTTTTTACCACTCTCCCAATTTTTGGGTCAGCTGCAAACTTTATCAGTGATGATTTTGTGTTTTCTTCCAAAACATCAATAAAAATGTCCTATAGCGTAGGTCCAAAAGGCAGTGATCATGGGATCCAGCTGAAACACACCCTTTCGATGATGACTCCTCATTTACAATCAGAGGTTGAAACTTTTTTTTAATAGAACCTTGCTCACCATTTTAGTTGTGTCTTCATTATAAACTTTCTGCAGCTCATTGGCTAAAGTCTCCTCGTTCTTTACTAAGTCAATGAACAGCTGGTAATTCTCTTGTAGGTAGAAATATTCAATGTGCAGCCAGATCACTGAAAATCTCACATCCTCATTTGCCAAAAAGGCGCAGAGCCGTTGTGCACCAGTTATGAGAACATTTGACAAAATCTGGTGACAAAATAAAAACTTTTATTATTTCTACTCATCATCAACTACAAGGCTAGTGGCTGACCCATAGAATTAAATTCTCAGTTGTTGCCGTGCTTAACAAAAGATGTATGAAATTTTCATCAACACTGATTCTAACGCCAGTCAAAAAATGTTGAAGTGCAGTTGTGAGCACTTTGAAATAATGTAAGAGCAAGAACAGTATTTCAGTAAAGTGGGTTTATCGAAAAAACAGAGCTGGACAGGAAATGGTTGTATCTTTGTGAGAAAATTTTGACTGTTAAAAATCAAACACCAAAAACTTTTGTCCATAAAACTCAGGTTCCATCTTTTTTATTTAAAAAAAGGTACAAAAATTGAGATTTTTTTTGACGATATCGGACACTTTCCGCGTCTTCTGGTCCACTGATTCCAACTGTGCTACAGTTGATTAACCCCCACAGGGATCTGCCTCCATGGACTCAAATTCAGTGAGGGCCAATTTACACCACTTAGAGATCTGGCCCTATTTTTTTTTTCGTGAAAAAGTCTAATTTACCTACTGCACCATTGGTAATCCACCCATCCTGACGGTATTTAAATGTGCCTTTCTGCAGATACCCATTTACCTCATAAACCTGGACATCTTGCCCCGGGAAAGCCATTCTCACAAAATCACTGGTGTAACGCTGAACCATTTCTGAACTATTGCCATCTGGCATTGGCATATTCAAAACAGAGCTTTGAAACATCTCAGCAGAGTCCACAGTAGGGTCCTTTGGATAATCTAGAATGTCACAGAAAGAAGAGAGGCTTATTCAATGATAGCAAATCATTATCAATAGTGTTTGTTAATTACTAATATCCAGTGACTGGAGAGCAAGTACAAGTATGGAGGGAATACGAGAGACTGTTTTTCTCCATTATAAATGTCTTCTTGTTAGAATTATGATGCAGTGTTCTAGGTCATTCTAGTTGGGTGGGGGAGGTTCTAGGTCATTCTAGCAGGGTGAGTAAGTTGAGCAATAGTGACTCCTCTTTCAAGGAATGAAGCACTGGGATTGCAAAGGACAAGAAGGCTCAGACAGTCCCACAGAGAAATCTTCAGTGAGGAACTCTTCTCCCACCAGCAAGAATCCTTTAAGCAGCATTAGATTAAGCACAGAACTCCACTGATCTGCAAGTCTGAGACCCAGTCTGAGAGACCTAGATCCCCAGATCTATCGACAGCATCCTTTCTCCAGTCACCGATTTCCAGGATACAGTCCACCATCTGGTAAGAGTGACCTATGCTCTTTGATCCTTCCATTTGTCTGAGTTAAAACTAGAGCTGGCCAGAAAGTGGATTTCTATTACATGAAAAAAAAAATAAGATTTTGCATTTTTTTAAATCATGACAAAAAGCCAAATTCTCAAAAATTTTCACAAAAATTGAGTTATATTTTGGGTCAATGAAAATTATTAATTTTACTACACTTGAAATGGTTTCTTCTGATTTTACCATTTTGTACTTCATTTTTCATATATAAACTTTAAAACAATATCCTTTGGAAACAAACAAAATAGAAATCGTTATCCTGAAAAAGTTGAAATGAGATATTTAGACATTTTCTAAACAGTTTTCCCCAATTTGTTATCTAACAAAATTTCATCTAACACAACAGCATTTCATGAAACATTTCAGTTTTCTCAAACTTTTCTGGCTCCAAACTGTTTTGAATTAAATTTTTGAAGAAAATTTAGTTAAGCGCACAACCAGGATTTCAAGTTAAGAAGACTCCACCACATCCATAGGTAAGCTGTGCCAATGGTTAATTTCCCTCCCTGTTAAAAATGTATGACTTCTTTCCTGTGTGAATTTGTCTCCCTTCAGCTCCCAACAAGGGTATCTCGTTCTGCTTCTCTCTGCTAGTTTAAGAACTCTTTATGGCCAGGGGTATTCTAGATGTGGCTGGAATACCTTAATCTGAGCTTGACACCATCTTCACAGTGGGAGGATAATAGGAGAAACCCCTCACTTTGGCTTTCCTTACTCCTTGTGACTGTGAGGAGTACCGGCACCAACTGGGGGCTGCCCTCAGTGTTTGATTTATCTGGTCTTTACTAGACCTGCTAAATCGAATGCCAGAAGATCAATCTCCAGTGCAGCAAGTGGAGATGAGGCCTATGATATGAAATCTCCCTCCCCATGTAGCTCTTCTGTAAATGTAAACCTGATCTTGATTTACTCTGGAAAAAGCAAGAAGAGCAATGGGTCCTGTATTGTCTTCCACTGCAGTTAATTTTAATAGATGTAGCAAGTGTGAAATTACCTTTTGCCCGATGGATTGTTGCCCATATCTCGTCCAGACGAGCTTTCAGAACCCAGCTGAATGGAAAGCGACACAGCACGGAAATGCTGGGGTCTTCACTCATTGATAACACAGAAATCTTAGTGTCAGGGGCCCTTGAGTGTTTAAAAACAAGCATATAATATAAAAATTATACAAAGTCTGGGTTGGAAGAGACCTCAGGAGTCATCTAGTCCAAATCCCTGCCCAAAGCAGGACCAACCCCCACTAAATCAACCCAGCCAGGGCTTTGTCAATCCAAGACTTAAAAACCTCTAGGGATGGAGATTCTACCACCTCCCTAGGGAACCCCTCCCAGTGCTTCACCACCCTCCTAGGGAAATAGTTTTTCCTAATATCCAACCTAGACCTCCCCCACTGCAACTATGCCGTACCATTGTGATATCAGAGATAACTCAATGAATCACCACCCATGCTTTATAACTAATTTGTATGAAACAATTTCATTGGTTGTACAAGGGAAACAGCACAGATGGTAGAATATTTGGCCCAAATGTCACACCCAGGAGACAGCACTGGCTTTCAGCTACTTGTTCTTCATAATAGTCTGAGACAGGAGTCCCTGCCCATATTTACTGGGATTGACCATTTATATTTCAGCTGGAATTTCCAAAAATATTCTTTCATAGAAACAGGTAGAAAAGCATGCTTAGAAAAATTACAGGCAGAATAATTTACATCACCAACTGCACTCATTTCAATATCAAGCAGTCTGAATACACCTGAAAACAATCAAGTAATTAAGTATTAAGAATGACTAGCACTATGGAGCCCCTACGACTGGAAGCTACAGCTCAGCAAGGAGGTATGTCTAGCCCAGCCTGCTGTGTGTGACAGTGCCCAGCACCAGATGATGCCAAGGAAGGTACCAGGAACCTGCGGTAGCAAGTGAAGATAACCTGCCACCATTTCAGGTGTCAACTTGGTCTCTGATAGTTAGAGACTGCCTTAAGCTAGACAAACTCAGAAATAAAGCATAGATGTTTAACTGTAAAGGGCTGTTTACCCAGGGGATGCTCCCATCACTTGAAACTACAAACCAGAGAGGAGTTATGAGATTCTCTGGTCTGCATTATACGGGGCAGATTAAATAATCCTAACAGAGAGATTTATAGCTAAATAAAAGGGACACACACACAGGAAATGGAAGGAGGAACATGTCACCAAAGAAGAGTTCAGTGACAAAATCAGGAAAGCCAAGGCAAGGAATGAGTTACAACAACCAAGAGATGCTAGCGACATCGGACAGAAGAGAAGAGCTGGGGATGGTGTGGGTGTGCTGCTCAATGGAGAAGATGAGCTGGTAATGGATGATAAGAAAGCGAAAGACACGCACACCTACTTTGCTTTAGTCCTCACTCAAAAATTACCATGTGACTGGGTCAGTTTCAAGAAACTTCTTGATTTGAACAATTTTTGGAAAAAAAATTCAAAACCATTAAAACATCCTGTTTTAATATTTTTTATAAAAAAATCAGCTTTTTAAATTTGAAATTGCTTTTCATTTAGCATTTTTAGTTAATTTACATTAAAAATACTTTTTTTTAAAAGGTCAAAATCTAAATTAAATTTTATGATGGAGCCAAGATTGTTTTCAGACTACAGGCCATCCTCGCTATAAGTCCAAGATATGTTCCAAAAAACTTGGACTTAAGTGAAACAACTCGAAGCGGGAAGTTTTTTTTCTTGTGGCTGACTTCCATTTGTGCAAATTGGGAGGAGGGTGTTTGTTTGGGGTTTTTTGCACAACTTAAGAGTGGGGAACAGGAGGACTTATAAGGCATCAGTTCCTAAAAGAGTCAATAAATGGCTCTGGTGTGGAACGGATGTATACTGAGGTGACTTGTAGTGGAGCTGCCCTGTTTGTCAAAATGTTCAGGATTTCAATTTTTCATCCCAGTTCAGGATGGGGGTAGACCTGAAATCTCAAAAACCCTTTGTAGGAAAGGGAAACTGATTTCTACTCAGATCTAACTGTGAGAGTTTATTGGTTTCTTACTTGCTAGTATACTTAATCTTCAGAAATGATTCATCTTTAAGCATCTGGAGCCAGAGATCAGAAACAGGAGTTTCTTGAGAGATGTGATCCAAGTTGTTGTTTGCATCAATGACTGCTAGAATTTGGGCAAACATGTTTGCTACAATGTCTTCCAAATGAATCCAGATTGCATGCCTTAAAAACAAGGACAAATAATGTCTTATAAAATAATTCCTTCAATGTTCCACCTCCAATCGTTCCATTCTGTGTGCTAGTAAAAGGAGGATTGCTTTGCAAGCCTGGGTCCTAAGATATATATCAAGCAATCTTAATAAAGCATCCACACAGGACAAAACATGGACCAAATTTAGCATTGGCGGGGTGATGTCTCTAAAGCAGGTTCAAAGTCAGCTGTCTCCAGTGGCTGAATACCATACATGTGAATTTCCCAAACTCTAAAGTAAAGGTTCAACACATTTCCTACAGCTGATCAATATTGTTCTGTTACATACTACAGATGTTAAAGATTAGTCGACTATTTGATAAGCATTTGCCCCCTCCCTCGCCCCCCGGGGTGTCTCATGCATTTCAAAGCAGGCACACCATGTGCAGCCCAGAGTCAGCAGGATTTCCTGTATGTGGAGTTTGGCATTCCACCTTTGAAATGTACAAGAATTAGTCTATATAAATTCCATCAACTAGTCTACTAGTCAATTAACCACATTTTAACATCCTTATTACAAACAAGACCTTTTAAGTGACCAGAAGAATCACTTAAGATTTTGTTGCCAACACTGTGATTAATTAGGATATTTATAACGTAGGGTAATTTTGTAAATAGATTCTTAAACTACCCATATCATGGTTATAGCTGATTCTTTTACAGAAGTGCTAAGTGACATGATAAAAGTGTACCACTTCCCTTTGGTATTCCAAAAAATGGAGCTATTTGAAATTCAAATGGCCAACAGGATGCAACTCTACAAGAACATACAACATTACCTGAATGAAGTGCCTTCAAGTATAAACTCGCTAGACAGAGCTTGACGGAAAATCCATTCTCTAGGCTTATGGCTCACTGCCTCTCGTTCTTGTAGAAGGTGACAAATTCTCCTTTTCAACCCTTCCATAAAATGATGAGCAACTAGCCATAAAAGAAAAATAAATCATTGTATCGCACAGTAGGGCTGGTCCATACTTTCTTACTAGCAAATTGTATTTTTAACAACATGAAAAGTGGGGCAGAACATTTCTGCTTGCCTCAATTTTTTTATTTTTTGTCAGAAAACCCCAAACCTTGACATTTTTCAGTCAAAAATTAAAAAAATGCAGCAGTTTGGAGCCAAAATAGTCTTGGTTTTCAGGTGTTAGGTTTCTGGACAAAAAGTTGAAATGTTTTCCAAGCAGCTCCTCAAAAAACATTTCTTATTGGTCTTCTGTGAAACACTTCCTTTGGCCTAGGCCAGGCATGTCCAAAGTCCGGCCCGCGGGCCAATTGCGGCCCGTGTTCCGGTTTAATACGGCCCCACAGGTAATTTGGCAATATCTATCTTTTATGGCCCCCAACGAATCCATATGTATTGAGATGAATACATTGTAAGGAATTAAGAGTCTCTTAGACAAAGGATGCAAGGAAAAAAGTGAGATGTAACAGCTGAAAGTTGCATTTGGCCTGCACCTGGGGACAGACATCTGGCTGAGACATCTGGATCACTGTAACATGCTCTCAACACAGAACTGGCTGCAGACTCAGCTGGGAGCAGTTAAGCACTTTCTGTGATGACAAACCCGAGTGGTAATTGCTGGGCTGATGGCAATGAGCATGAATGGAGGAAGTGTGCGGAAGAGCTCAGAGACTGAGCCATGCAGAGGCGAGAAGCTGTGTAGAAGTCTCCTCTTAGTATCCCTGCATCATGTTGTGTTTGCTGGAGAACTGAGGAATAAGGGAATGTGGTGAAAAGGAAACAGCCTGGCCCTGTTTGTGTTTTAGGGACCATGGAAACAAGCTACACAGAAAAGCATACTGGGTAGCTGAGTGTGCGGAAGAGCTCAGAGACTGAGCCATGCAGAGGCGAGAAGCTGTGTAGAAGTCTCCTCTTAGTATCCCTGCATCATGTTGTGTTTGCTGGAGAACTGAGGAATAAGGGAATGTGGTGAAAAGGAAACAGCCTGGCCCTGTTTGTGTTTTAGGGACCATGGAAACAAGCTACACAGAAAAGCATACTGGGTAGCTGAAGCAGTACCCGGTGACACGAACCCTATCGCTCCATTCTCCTCTGTGGGCCAGGCAACCCAGCCAAATGGCATCTCTCACGATGTAACATGGTGTCTCCACTTTCTGATGCACTCTGATATATAATGGGATTCCTACTGTCACAGTGTATCATGGGAAATGTAGTCCAGCTGGGAACCCAGACCACAGAAGAGAATGGGGCTACGTCTACACTGGCCCCTTTTCCGGAAGGGGCATGTAAATTTCACCTATCGTAGTAGGGAAATCCGCGGGGGATTTAAATATCCCCCGCGGCATTTAAATAAAAATGTCCGCCGCTTTTTTCCGGCTTTTAAAAAAGCCGGAAAAGAGCGTCTACACTGGCCCCGATCCTCCGGAAAAAGCGCCCTTTTCCGGAGGCTCTTATTCCTACTTTAAAGCCTGGGGGTATGATGTGACTACTACTGCTTTCATTTTAGTAGCACTTCCAAATTGAAAAGTTTTTAGTTTGGCTGGTTGGTTATTCATTTTTCAGATGACAAGTCAGTATTTTCCAAGAAAAACACACTTTTCACAGAAAAATTGTTTTGTGAAAAACACAATTTCCCACTGAAATTTTTCACAGTAAATCTTTGACAAGTTATGTGGCTCCTTCCTTCAGTTTTAGTAACGAAGACGAGATCAATCAGACAAGCACCTTCCATTTACTTTGTTTGACATATTCACACATTAGTTTGTTTAAAGCTGGATCACATTTAATTACTAAGAACGACTGCACAATTGTCTTGAATTACTGTGTAGAACAAAACAACTGCTGACAGCACAGTAGCATGAAAGACCTCACCACACTCATTTTTCATTTGCATTTGATCTCTACATGGGATTTTCTTTTTTTTAATCTTGGAATCCAGAGCTGTGAAGGAATCCAGAAATCCACTGCCCTAGCAGATTGGACCACTAATCCATCCAGTTGGTTCTTGAAACATCTTGTAACATGCAGCCACATGCAAACACTTTTGCTTATACTCACATATATTGTTGCTCTGAGAGGGGAAAAGTGCATCACAGAGAATCTGTATCCTTTTTGTAGCTCGCTGGCTGTTGATCTCCTTATCCTCCAGCTGGATCACAGCTTTCTGGATACTTTGTTTGATGATGAATTCAGTGTCCATCAGTTGCATCTGGAAAAAAAATTGCCAGGGAAAATGGTCTAGAAAACATGAACTATGAAGGAAGGCTGAAAGAACTGGACTTAAGTCTGGAAGAGGGAAGACTGATGCTATGTCTACACTGCTGGGGGAGGGTTTCGGAAAAAGACACGAAATTGCAAACCACAATTTGCACTTTTTCCGCTTCTTTTTTTGGAAGAGAATTTTCCAACATTTGGCCTGTCTACACTGGGCTTAATGTCGGAAAACCCCTTTTTTTTGGAACATCCCTACTTCCTCATAAAACGAGATTTACAGGGATGCCAAAAAAACCCCGTGTCTGCTCTTCCAAAAACATTTGTGTTCCTTGGACGCAGCAGAGATTTTCTGAGATACCTCTGGTATCCTGGAAAACCACTGCAGCGTAGACATATCCTGAGAGGAGACATGATAGTAGTTTTCAAACATCTAAAAGGGTGTTACGAGAAAGAGGGGGAAAATTGTTCTCCTGGGCCTCTGAGGATAGGACAAGAAGCAATGGGCTTAAATTGCAGCAAGGGAGGTTTAGATTGGACATTAGGAAAAACTTCCTACCTGTCAGGGTCATTAAACACTGGAATAAATTGCCTAGGGAGGTTGTGGAATCTCCATCTCTGGAGATATTTAAGAGCAGGTTAGACAGACACCCGTCAAGGATGATTTAGATGGTGCTTGGTCCTGCCATGAGGGCAGGGGACTGGACTCTATGACTTCTTGAGGTCCCTTCCAGTTCTAGTATCTATGATTCTATTGGGGACAATGGGCAAATGGGAATGGAGAGATTATTTGACATGAAGGAAATCAGTAGCAAAACAAGGAAATTCACGCAGGTCTCCCAAGTCCTAGGCTATTGCCCAAACTAATAGACCATCCTTCCTCTTCATTTTTATGGCTCACAGGAGCTGTTCCCTGGGAAACTCTGCAGCTGTTTGGGGAAACATGTGGAAGCATGCGCAGCATTTCAGGGCTGCCATTTCTGTAATGCTCACATAGCCCCCTCTCTGCAGTATCTAAGCACCTCACAAACACCAATGACTTTATCTCCATGAGGCTGGCCACACTATTCCCCCTTCCAGTCACAGGCGGGGGGCTGAGGCCCAAAGACATTTGATGCCTTTCTCCAGGACACACAGGAAGTCAGTGACAGAGTCAGAAATGGAACCCAGACCTCCTGAAACTTATGCCTAGTGCCTTGCCACAGGGCCTCCCATATCGCCTCTAAAACACCAGGCACGTTTCCCTGCAACCTTTCTACTCTTGGCCAGTGGACCTCCCCAATTTGGATCTGTTCTATTTGTAAAGCTGACACGGGATTTGATAGTACTCACTTATGCAGGCAAGATATATAAGAAACGTACTTTTTCCTCTGGGAAGTCAATGGCTTTTTCAGCATCTTCAAGAACATCCGAATCCTCTGGACAACCTTGGGTGGTGAAAAATTGCACATTATTTATCTATTGCATTGAACCAGATACACCACAGAACAAATGAATGGAGCGGGGTGGAAAATGGGAGAACGGATCCATTGCAAAGTTTGAACACGCTAGCAGAAGAGTCACATAGACGGTTACTGGCTGTGGTTGTAAGCCTGTAAGTGTATTGAACTCTACAATCTATCTACATATTTTAGAAATGTGCATCTCTTTGTCTGTCCATCTGTCAGTCTCTTTGTTCAAGAACTCCTCCTAAACGGTAAGAGCTAGGACCACCAAATTTGGGATGCAGCCTCCTCTTCTCCTATCTTAAAGCAAGGCCAGGGTCTGGTTCTATGAGGAAAACAGGAAGTGCTGGGAATGGGACTATTTTCCATAATATGTAAAGGGAGGAGGCAGCGAGAGGAGGGATGTGAGGGTCACAGTCAGCACTGGTGACAGTGAGCATAGGGGAGAGCTATACTGCAGAGTGACCACTGGCGGCACCTGAACCACCAAGAGAGTGGGCATTGGGGCTGGAGATCCACCATCTTGCTTGCCACCAGACCTGAATAAGTACAGCCCTTTGCCCAGGAGACAGCCTCCACCAGTTCCCCTCACCCCAAGAAGGAGAAGAGGGGAAGGAGAAAGCCTCTGCTGGGGCTTATCATGGTGGCTACACACAGTTGCAACAAATCTTATAGAATATATGTCATGTAAGGCATCAAGGTACAATCTGTTCGACATGATTATGCAGCTTGTATGCGGGTATCATCTTTGCATCCCAAGTTATGAATATTGACTATATACCTGGATTTTTAAAAAAATATGCAAATGGAAGTCAGCCACGGGAAAAAAAATTCCCCGCTTCAAGTTGTTTCGCTATAAGTCCAAGTTTTTTGGAACGTACCTTGGACTTGTAGCAAGGACGGCCTGTATTTCTCAGTTGTGACCCACTGAGGCACAGCCCGTTCAAAGGGTGGGCCCAGTGTGACAGCACTGTTGCTGCCACAGTAAACCCAGTTCTGTGTCTGATTCCTGTGCAAGTGGATCCAGGGGCCAGATGACCCAGGCAGGAGCATTACGGGATTCTCTCCCCTCTCTCACTTCTCTCTGTGTGGGTCTGTAGCTTAACTCAAAACTGTGCCCTAAAAGGGAGTATGGATGAAACCCAGCTCCATGTGCACAGTGGTTTTACAGTGCACTCTGACGTAAGTAAACCTCAATCCTCCAATGGTACAACCCTGCCTGGGACAGGGAAATGGCAGAAGGCAAAGCAACACCCAGAGAGGGGTTTAAGAACAAGGAGTTGGTTACTTGTGTTGCTGCCCTGTTGCTGGGTGCTGTGCATGAACATCTCAGCCACTGTCAGTTTGGAGAGCTGTCCCAGATTGGCTGGGAAGGTCTCAGGTGGCAGTAGGTCATCCAAGTGAACAGCGTGCCATTCGTCTGGGGAGGCAGAAAGAGAATACAGCAGAAAATGTCATTGAGTCACAGAGTTTAAGGCCAGAAGGGGCCACTAGATCATCAGTTTGACCTCCTATATAACACATCCCATTAGACCGCACCAAGTAACCCCTGCATAAAACCTAATAATGTGAGTAGTCTGGGTCTGAAGACATCAAGGGATGCAGAATCCACCACTTCCCTTGGTAGTTTGTTCTAGCAGTTAAGTCTCTCACTGTGTTTTCTCCAGCCTTCCCATCGGTTTTGTGATGCTTCTCTGCAGCTTCACCAATTTTGTAGCATCCTTTTAAAAATTTAAATATCACACCTGGATTCAATATTCGAGCGTTTGCCTCACCGATACCAGACAGAGGGAAAATCATGTTGTGACTGCTACTCACTACTCCTGTTTATACACGCATGCATTGTATTAATTCTTGTCGCTAAAGCACGACACTATGAGCTTCCATTGAGCTGCTATGACCACTGTGACCCCTCAATACTTGCAGAGTCACTGCTTTCCAGTGTCATATACTCCCCCCACTCTGTGGGCATGCGGCTTTTATCATGTGGGGAAAAGCTCACTTTCTGGAACATCCAGCACCACCAGCCTTTCCTGACGTGTGCTCTCAAGCAGAGCCACAGATACTTTTGTTTTGATTTTTTTACGTTGGTGACATTTTTCATCAGAACTTCAAATGCTGATGAAAAATGGGTGGGGAATTGCCAACAAAGAGAACATTTTCCTTGGAAAAATGATTGTTTTTGTTGAATTCCAGGTTTTGGTTGAATTTTGACAGCTCTCCCTCCAGTGACTTAGGAACACGCATGTTTCACTGAAACAAGATCTGTGTTTCTAAATCACTTTGGCCCAGATATTTAAAAATGATTGAATTGTTGCTGTGCTCAGGCTTCTAAATCAGGTACGAGTTGCAATGCTATGTCTCAATTTCAAAAGTGATTTGAACACGTAAGGCTATACTGCAGCACTATTTCAGGGTACCTTGGTATCCCAAAATAGCTATCCCATGTCTTAACAGCAAGCCTGTTATTCCGAAATGGAACATGCTCGCTATTCCGATGTCCTTGTAAACCTCATTCCACAAGGAGTAAGGGACATTTCAGAATAGCGGGTTATTTTGAAATTTGGCACTTTACGAAATAAACTGTTTCAAAATAAGATACACAATTTGCATAGCTCAAACTGCATATCTTATTTTGAGCTATGGTGCAGTATAGATGCATCCTAAGAGCCTAAACACCACTGATAGTCAATAGGGCATTGGCTTCTAAGTGCCTAAATCACTTTTGAAAATGGGAATTAAAAAATCTGGATCTGACATGCTACAGAAAATGCCAAACCTACAACAGTGATTAAGACAGTTAACGACTGTTAAAATTATTCAAATGCTAATGATCCCTTTTGCTTTCCTCTTCTTTCAAGTCTTTCCAAATAAAGACATATTCTTACTAGCACTGAATGCCAGGTAGCTGCAGCCCCCAAGGATCCTTGGGACTTTGGTTATGATGACGACATGGGATGGACCGATGGTTTCAGGTTTCCTTCTCTCATCCACGATACAGTACCTGAAAACACAGCAGAAATAAGATTCAGAGCTTCATGGATCTTCAGGTCAGTAGGGACCATCCTAACCAGCTAGTCTGACCTCCTGCAGAGCACAGGCAAAGGAACCTCTTGTAAGTGATTCCTGCATCTGGACTAATAGCTTCTTGTGAGAGTTAGAGTGGAGCTTTTAGAAAGAAACACCCAGCCCTGCTTTACAGACTCCCAGAGATGGAGAAGTCACCCCATCCCTAGGGGAGCTGTTCCAACAGTTATGTCTAGAAATCCTTCCAAATTCACAGGAGTATAGAATGGGGGTCCATGGTATTGCCATGCGCTGCCTTCAGAGCTGTGTGGCTCAGACTGAAAGCTGTTGGCCAATGGCCTGGCTCTGAAGGCAGCAGAGCAGAAGTCAGGGTGGCATGGGATGGTGCTGCCACCATCACATCTGCACTGCTGCTGGCAGGGAGCGACTCTGCCCTCAGAGCTGGGTTCCCAGGGCCCCAGCTCTGAAGGCAGCACCATTACCAGCAGTAAGGGCGGCAATATCACCCTGCCCCTAGAATACCCTTCTGACCCCCTCCCCCATTTAGGGTGTGTCTAGACTACATGCCGCCATCGACGGAGGCATGTAGATTAGCCAGATCGGCAGAGCGGGGCAGCCCTTTAAATTTAAATGAAGCCGCGATTATTTTAATCGCGGCTTCATTGAAATTTAAATGGCTGCCCCGCTCTGCCGACAAACAGCTGATCGGCAGAGCGGGGCAGCCCTTTAAATTTAAATGAAGCCGCGATTATTTTAATCGCGGCTTCATTGAAATTTAAATGGCTGCCCCGCTCTGCCGACAAACAGCTGATCGGCAGAGCGGGGCAGCCCTTTAAATTTAAATGAAGCCGCGATTATTTTAATCGCGGCTTCATTGAAATTTAAATGGCTGCCCCGCTCTGCCGACAAACAGCTGATCGGCAGAGCGGGGCAGCCCTTTAAATTTAAATGAAGCCGCGATTATTTTAATCACGGCTTCATTTCCCTCTGCCGATCTGGCTAATCTACATGCCTCCGTCGATGGAGGCATGTAGTTTAGATGTACCCTTAGAGTTAAGACCCCTACAGTAACAACACTGAGAAATTGCAGATTTAAATGTCTGAAATAATTCAGTGTACTATTTTAAAAATCCTATGACTGTGAAATTGACCAAAATGGACTGTGAATTTGGTAGCGCCCTCATTATTGTCTCTCCCTGTCAACAATTTGCACCTTAGTTCAAGTCTGAATGGGTATGTCTACACTACAGAGCTAATTCGCACTAACTTAGTTCGAATTAGTTAATTCGAACTAAGCTAATTCGAACTAACGCGTCTAGCACTAAAAACTAGTTAGAATTAGCATTTTGCTAATTCGAACTAGCATGTCCACATTAAGTGGACCCTGAACCGGGCTTAAGGATGGCTGGAAGCAGTGCCGGGAGGGCATCAGTGGAGGACTTAGAGCGGGGAGCTGCTGTCTCAGGCTAGCCGAGGGCTGCGCTTAAAGGGCCCCGACCCCCACCCCGGACAGACAGTTCTCAGGGGTGCCCCACTTGCAAAGCAGTCCTGGCTTGGAGTGCCCTGAGGGCCCACACTGGGCACATCACAGCACTCGGCCATCAGACCAGCTGCACTTGCCGCAGGCTGCCATCTGGGGAGAGGGGGCAATTGGGGGGCTGCGGGAGAGCTTCCCCCCCCAGAAGCCCGCAGAGCCAGCCCAGTCCTCCCCATCAGGGGCTCGTACCCCATTCCTCCCTCCCCTCCTTCCACTTACCCTTCCCTAGCCCCTTTTCTTGATGTACAAAATAAAGGACAATTGTGTTCAAAAATGGAATCTGTCTTTATTGAACAAAACTGGGGGAGACTGGGAAAAAGAGGTGGGAGAGGGGAAGAGAGAGGCTGGGAGAGGGGAGGGCAACTAAAATGATCAGGGGTTGGGAACAGGTCCCATATAAAGAGAGGCTAAAGAGACTGGGACTTTTCAGCTTAGAAAAGAGGAGACGGAGGGGGGACAGGATAGAGGACTCTAAAAGCATGAGTGGGGTGGAGAGGGTCCATACAGAAAAGTTCTTCATTAGTTCCCATAAAGAAGGACTAGAGGACACCAAAGGAAAGGAATGGGTAGCAGGCTTCAAACTAGTAACAGAAAGTTGTTCTTCACAAAGCAAAGAGTCAACCTGTGGAACTCCTTGCTGCAGGAGGCTGTGAAGGCTAGAACTAGAACAGGGGTTAAAGGGACATGAGATCAAGTCATGGAGGTTGGGTCCATGGAGTGCTATTAGCCAGGGGGGAGGAGGGGTGTCCCTGCCCAAGGTTTGTGGAAGGCTGGAGAGGGATGGCACGAGACAAATGGCTTGGTCACTGTCTTCAGACCATCCCCTCCAGGGTCCCTAGGGTTGGCCGCTGTCGGCAGACAGGCTACTGAGCTAGATGGACCTTTGGTCTGACCCAGGACGGCCATTGTAAGCTCAGGGCTCAGGGTCGGGGGTCTCAGTGGATCCCCTTGATTTTCATGCACACCTGCTCCTGGGTGGCCAGGCTGGCAGCTCTCCTGCCCTAGACTGCCACTTTCCTGTGCCTAGTGCGGAGATCGTGGACAAGGTCCACGATGTCCGCTCTAGACCAGGTGGGTGCCCGCCTCTTGCGGTCCCGGGCAAGCTCCCGGGAGCCGCCAGCCTGGTCCCGGGAAGAGGGGGAGGGCTGGGGGGCATCGGGTGGGTGGCTCGATGCGTGCCAGGTGCAGGGTCTGCTGGCTGGGTACTGGCAGGCTTGCGCCTGGCACAGGCACCGTAGCCAGCCCGGGCCCCTTTAAGGGCTCCGGGGCCGGAAGGGGGGCAGACGAGTTTCCCTGGTGTTGGCCAGAGTGGCCACCAGGGAAACCTGGGGAGGGCTAGCCTCCCACTAGTTCGAATTAAGGGTCTACACAGCCCTTAATTCGAACTAGCGGAGCGCTAGTGTAGCACCTATGAAAGTTAGTTCGAACTAACTCTGTAGTGTAGACGTACCCAATTTGCCTCATTTCAGCCCTGAGAAAATGGATCTTATTCTGCCTTTTTTGCTTGCAGGAATCTCCTCCCCATGTAGGTCCCTTTGGCCATGATCAAGCCATAAGACATATTATCTGTCTCTACATCCATCTCTTCCCTCTGGGTGAAACCCTGATATCTTGAAGTCAATGGCAGAGCTCCCTTTGACTTCAATAAAGACAGGATTTCACCTTGTGTCCATTCACCACCGTAACTTCTGAGAGTAAGGCTGTGTCTGCACGGCAACACTGCAGCTGCACTGATGTAGCATTTCAGTGTAGACACTCACTATAGCAACAGGAGAGGTTCGCCTGTTGCTGTAGGTCATATGCCTTCCCATGAGGCAGTAGCTAGGCCAACAGAAGCATTCTTCCAGCAACCCAGGACAGTCTACACTGGGGCTTCAGTTGGTTAAACTACATCCCATAGGGTGTAAGTTTCTCACCTTTAAGTGTTGTGTCTAAGATGATCTAAGTTTTAGACCAGCCTTGAGCAAGATTTTTGTGCCTGTTTTAGCTATTGTGAAGATTGAGGGGAACTGCAACACAAATAATTCCTGAGCCTGCTTTTGATTTCTTGCCATGACACGGGGTGAACCCAGCACACTCAGCCACCCCTGCTCTTCGCTATGGGCAAGAGCTGATGCAAACAGGTGATTTTTCTCCAAGCCCTGGCTCCCAAAACAATTGGATTATCGGAGAATCTGATTTTGTTTAATGCTGGGTTTCATCAGCAGGGAGATCTACACGACAGGTTTGACCGCCATAGCCAGGACTCTGTAGCCCAGCAACATCTGTGGTCCGGCATCCCTGTGAATGCTCCCAGGCTGGAGCACTCACTGGGAAAAGCCAGGCCCAGCACTCAGCACCTCCTCCCCTGCCCTCCCAGACCTTCCGGAGTGCCGCACATCACTCATCTGAGGCACTCGCACTCAACAAGGGTGAGAGGAGAGCCGGGACAGGGGGCACTCGGGGGCAGAGGCAGAGTGGCTGTGGAGACCAATGGCCGGGGGTTAGGAGTGCAGCCCTGTGGGGCTCCACACCCACCCTGCCTCTTACCCCGAACTTACCCCCATCCTTCCCACTTGGTCAATACCAGCCCTTCTGCGGCTGTTAGAGAGGAGTCCGGCAGGTGAGGGCAGCAGAGGGGCTGGCACTGACCTGCTCTGGTCCAGCAGATTCCCTGATTAGGACCAGTCAGGTCCCAAGAGTGCTGGGCCAAGGAGGTGCAACCTGTAGCACAGAAGCACCATGGTTATTTTATAAGGCCCGGATTCAACAAACCACTTAAGCCCAGGCTTAACTCCACTGCTGTCTTGGGCCCTGATACATGACAAGAAAAGCTGCTTACTTTGCACAGGCAAGAAGCCTCTTGCTGCTCTGTGGCTCCTCAAAGTTGAACTGGACAAAAAGCAGCTTCTCTTCTGTTGCTTCTCTGAAAAACTTACTGCACGTGATGAAAAAAAAAATCTCTTTAAAGAAGTCACATGGGAGACATGGAAAAAACCACATACAAGATTAAAGAACAACAACAAAAGTAGGACCAAAAGCACTTTGTTACCTCAGTTCCTGGCGGAACGCATGTTCTGTGTCAAACTGGCTTAGGAAAAGACAGCGGATTTTAGTTTGGAGGTTCAGTCTCTTTCTCACCACTTCCAAATCTCTCTGGTTCAGGAGTTTTGCATGTGTGGACACCTATGAAAAAGACGACAATTTAGGCAAGATTTTTGTGCCTGATTTTACTACAGGTTGAACGTCTCTGATCCAGAACTCTCTCATCCAGAAATATCTGTCATCTGGAATGATTTTATACATGTCCACTTTTCACGAGTGTGGTCAACTTGCCCATGGGCCCATAAAGTTTGTTTACAGCCACCAGTCCTGGCTCTCAGTGCTCTGTGCTGTTATTTAGCTCTAAGGGTATGTCTACACTACAAAGTTAATTCAAACTAACAGACGTTAGTTCGAATTAACTTTGATAGGTGCTACACATGCAAACCGCTAGTTCGAACTTAATTCGAACTAGGTAAACCTCATTCCACGAGGACTAACGCTTAGTTCGAATTAACTAGTTCGAATTAAGGGCTGTGTAGCCACTTAATTCGAACTAGTGGGAGGCTAGCCCTCCCCAGCTTTCCCTGGTGGCCACTCTGGGCACTACCAGGGAAACTCTTCTGCCCCCCTCCTGGTCCCGGAGCCCTTAAAGGGGCACGGGCTGGCTACGGTGCCCGGGCCAGGTGCAAGCCTGCCAGCACCCAGCCAGCAGACCCTGCACCTGGCACGGATCGAGCCACCCACCCGATAACCCCCAGCCCTCCCCCTCTTCCCGGGACCAGGCTGGCGGCTCCTGGGAGCTTGCCCGGGACTGCAAGAGGCGGGCACCCTCCTGGGCTAGTGCGGA